GGATGGTACATGATCGCTCTTCGTCCTCCCAAGTAAATGCTTCCTGATCCCATTGAGCCCAGAGATCTGCTTCAAACTCTGACAATGTTCGCAGGTCAGGCTGTCGCGGATCAAAGGCCGGGGCGTAAGGGTTCAGTTGGGAGTTGCCACAATTTTGAATTGGAAAGCCAGTCTGTGGTGCCGCCTGCATCAACTGGTTGGGGCGATCTGGAGGCTTCTGTCGCTTCGTCTGTGTGTGCATCTGCATGAAGGAGGACACATCAGTCTCTGTAGTCACTTGCCGCAATCCTGGGATGGTGACGACAATGCTCTCTCCATCCTGTAGTTGGACAAGATCTCTCTGCTCAAGGTGAATGTCTCCAACTTGCAATCTGCACCGCCGGACGTTACACCATCTTGCGATGCCAAGATCTTCCAGGATGTCTTCCTGCCCAACATGATTCGGTTGGAGGGCTGCCAGGTGCCAGACGCGTCTGTGGACTGCATGATCAAAGAGAGCTGTGAGTAGGACTGGATGTTCTGCTCCTTGTCCTTGGACTAAGATGAGATGTCCCACATGTTGACTGTCATCTGCTTCTGGTGGGGTTGGGTGCACAAAAGCGACTCGGGCAGGTCGATGTGGGTCCATTGCATCTGCCCAGAGGTTGCATAACTCATCAAACCAGAAACGATGCGCTGCATCAAGGCGCAAAATGCGCGATTCAAAGCTCTTTGTATAGCGTTGATAATGAAGAAACCAAGTCGTCCAGTAAAGTACAGGACCTTCATCATCAAATTCTACTGCAGCACACTCTCGGAACATCATCTTGGCCTGTGGCATCCATGAGTGTTGCTGTTCGTGAGCAATTCGCCTGGAATTGTGATGGCGACCTGTTCCGGGCCCCTGTCTACCCGCAAGGCTTGGAAAGGTGGCACTGTGGCTCATGAGCAATGTTGAGTTCCCTTTCAGTGTTGAAGACCTTTGCATGAAAGATGACACATCAGTCGTCCCGGCAGCACCACGTGGATCAGGTCTGCTGGGTCCGGCAGGAACTTCTCTGTTTGTGGACGTTGCTGGGGCGCATGCTCTTGTTGGTGGATCAACCGTGACCTCAACACGCAAGTACGTGCCATGCTGCAATTCCCTTGGGAATAGGTCATCTTCATTCCACAAGTCATTGTTGAAATGAAAAGTGCATGAGTCAGGACTGTCCTCGCATGGTGCCTGTAGATGCAGCTGCGTGATCAAGGATGGACGGCTCAAAAACCTCGGAAATCTCCTCACAATCCTCTGATGTGCATCATCAAGGCCCGCTGTGTGATAAGTGAGGTCGATGAGGACCAGTTTATCTGCTGACCCACCTGGGATGTCTCCAACTAACTGCAAAATGATTGCTTCTTCAGCTTCATGTTGATCAATCAGTGGAGCTTGCACATAGTGGAATCCGACTGCTCGATCTCGGTGAATGCCCATGGAGTGCAGGGTGTCAAAGAGGATCATGTTGTACGATCTCCATCTGACAAAGCAGTGATGCCCAGGTTGTTGTGCAGGTTGTCCAAGCCTGAAAACTTGTAGACCTTGCAAGTCTTCCTCGTCAAAGCTTGAAGTCGAGACTTGTGGGCTTTCTTCTTCGCCTCCTTCGTCTAGCTCTAGCGGCTGAGGATCAGTGGTCGATATCGCGACTTCTGGACTTTGGTCCCTTTGCGTGTCCCTTTGCGTAGACGATGTCGCACGTGAACCTGTGAGGTCATGGAAAACTGCGACAAAGGAATGGCCATTTGCTGTCCAATGCACTGGAGTCAATGTGGATGGTATTGCAGTGCCTCCATGAAAGATGTCACAAGCATGTGTTTGGAGTAATTCTGCTGCATCTACTCCCTCAAGGATACCAACTCCGCTGAGGTGTCGAGCGTAGGAAGCAGCTCCAATGTAGTAGCGATCATCTCCAGGAAGGTACACTGTTGTCACTCCTCCTCGAAGTGCATGTGCTCCATCTTGTTGGCCTTGGATCAGCATCACATCAGCCTGTGTCGGTTCATTCGGATTTTGATCTCGGACACGAGGGAATACCACAGCAATGGTCAAGAGTTCATCATCATGTATTTGATCTCGCCAAGCTGCGAGTAAACCCTGATGCCAAGACCCAGGATCATGCACAAGCTTGACAACTCTGGGCGTTCGGCATTTGGGCTGATGCAAATGGTGAATGTACCATGTTCTCAATCGGTATTGTTGCCCTGCGGGGAGTCTTAAGAGATCATCCTTCCACAGGGTTTGCAAGTGATGGATGTACGCCGGCAGGTCGTCAGGGAGAATTCTGTCCAAGAAATGTCTATGACTTGCGCTGCCAGCTGAGGTTCTGGGGGCCAGGTTACGGCCTGGATCAGATGATGGCTCTGACAAAGGTCGTTTTGGCCATGTGTGAAAAATTGGTGCCAAAATTGTGTCGTCAGGGGACTTGATGCAAGGCTGGAACTCCTCAAGCTCGACTTTCCCTTTCAAGCTGTCATCATGTCCTTCAAATCTGACTGAATGGCAATTCTTTTTCTTTCTATCCCTTGGTGAGAGCTTCATGATGTCAACCCGAACTGAACAGGGGATTCCCAGTTCCCAGGCCAGTTCGGTGGCTCTTTCAACTGCATTCCAAGGGGAAGTGAAGCAGGACTCTTTCAAAATTGAGTGCCCCCAGTGCAGTGGTACAGCATCAGGAGAGCACGTAGCCTGTGGCCATTGATGATCATACTCATCGGTCATGAAGCATCGGCCTTGTGAAAAGGCTGCATCGCCTTCGAACCAGGTGGAGCATCTTCTTCTTCTCTGGTCCTGGGTCGCTTTGACTTGGGCTCGAGCTTGTCGGCAGACTCGGAGAGGGATGAGAGACTCGTAACAACCTGATTCAAGCCCTCTTGAATTCGTTGCGCATTCTCGTCTCTTGGAACCTTCTCTTCTTCGGGCAAGTCCGTCTCGTTCTCGTCCATGTCGTCGTCTGAGATCTCCAGGGTCTCGTCCTCCTTGCCAATAGCATCTGCACGCTTCTTGGCCATATCGACTCTTTTCTGTGCTTTCTTCAAATGCATTGTGGCTACCTGCATTTGGTGTTGGAAGGCTGTCTCCGACGCCTGGAACTGCGCCGTATATTCCTTCCACTTGGTCACAGAAGCCTGGAGAAAGACACGCCACTGCGACCATAACTGCATGCGTGAGCTTTCCACTTCCATAAGCGCCCCTTTTGCTTTTCCATGAGCCTTGACCGCCGCCAACAGGTTGCTGGTGCTCTCTTTGCCGTCCTTCTTGCGCTCGGACTGCACCAGGGACTGGAATTCTGGCGAAAGATGGTCCTCTTTCTTCGCAGCCTTCATGATCTTGTTCAGTTTGGACTGCGCACTCATCTCTGCTCTGTGATCTTCCGGGTCCATGACTGGAGCTGTCGGCTGCGGTGGGACTGTTTGCATCACCTGCTGGTCCAGCTGTGGCGGTAGGAAGGGCATCATTTGCATTTGAGGCATCTGTTGTGGCATTTGTTGGGGCATCCATGGAGTCTGACAGTGCATTTGAGCCGGTGCCAACATAGGTGGCGGCGGCGGTGGTGGGGATGCAACCTGCATGTTTTGCATTCCTTTTCCACTCCCTTTGTCTGTCACATAGGTCGTAGACCACGGTCCTCCTCCCCATGAGCTTGCAGACCCATGCATTCCCTGCTGTTCCCATTGTTGATTCTTTTTGCGTGACCTCGGTCTCTGCTTGTGCTTCTGGCTTCTCTCTCTGGGCTTCTTGGTCTGCTGATTCCAAGTGGGGCCGTGCTGATTTGCTGTAGGCACAGCGCACTCTTCCCATGAGCTGCCACAAAGGTCGCAGTACCAAGCATTCGGCGATTTCATTTTGCGGCATTGGCCGCAGAGCCATCCGGTAGCTTTCGTAGAAGACATTGCACTCACAATCCGGCGGAGAAATGCTTTGTCCCCAGAGTGATGGGATTGTAGCCTCCGATAGACCGCACTCAGTTGCTTCGAACTGAGGGGTATTTTTCCAGTTTTGTGAAAATGCCAGGCTTGCCGCGCTGCCGCACGTTGTCTGCGTGCCGCTCTTCTCTGTGAATTGCTTGCCGTCGCCCTTGTCAGAGATGACAATGCCGTCCTGCTCGGCCAGAAAGTCCAAGGAGAAGTTCACCTGCGGAATCACCTTATCCTGAATCAAAAGAATGTGCAGGAAGATCCAACAGGCCGAAAACATACACCAGGACTGGGTCAAAGGCCAAGAAGGCAGCGATGCACCCGGGAGTTTTCAGAGTCCGGGACCTCTAGCGTGGTGATGCCACTCAGATGTGGCAGAGCACGTGCAAGGCAACTAGCACCAGGGCGAAGCCAGTTCAGTGCAGAAGCTTGCCGGCGAAGAAAGGCCCCACGCAAATGGCCCGCGGGAATCCCCCCGCTCAGGTTACGGATGAGGGACGGGGGCCACTGCAGCCAAACCTTCACACACACATATATATATATGCTCACATGAACATTTCTGACCGGTTGGATTAATAGCATTAGTCGATCTTTTTAAAGCTACTACTCCATATTACTCCTAAACATGGATCAACTTAGGAATGATGGAATGGGTCAACGTCATTCTGCAATAATTTAGTAGTTATTTTTATAATTATATTATATAATCGCACAATATACCATATCATATGTTCTATATAATATGTAATATACAATGCATACATAATTTTATTTTATAATGCACCATATATGTCACACAAAACATGCCATGCTAGGTGTATATATATATATACATGACATTGCATATGTGCCTGGTATGAACCTATCTATATAATATATATATATCATGTATATTTCAGTTTTCTTTGCAGACTGTGCACTTTTGCCCCTCTCCTAAACAGGATTGGAATCAATGATAAATACAAGTTGATCAAAACGGGGGGAAGATGAACAATCAAATCAATTCAATGGGGGTCGACAAGCTGCTGGGTGCCAAATGCCGGTGAGAGGTTGGGGGCCCAGCTCTGCAGGTGATGTGCGCCATCACATTGGATGCGCACAACCGTGATGTGCAGGAGATGGGGCTCGAACCCAGAAATTCCCACAAAATGGGTTGCCTTTAGTTGAATGATGGGCCTGGAAAAAAGAGAGTTGAATGGTCTGGAGTCAGGGCATGTCACAACATGTCACTAGGGATAAGATGGGATAAGTATTGATAAATATAAATGGCCACAAAGGGGGCTATGGCGGCTATGGGCTAGGTGTTGATTTGGATTCTCGGGCCGCAGATTCTGAAGTACTCGTAGTAGAAGCCCAGCATGGTAGGATGGACATGGATGGACCATCAAGCCAATGATCTTATGATCACCGGCCCTCGGAAAACCCAAAGTGATTGATGCTGTGGGACATGACTGACATGACCCACATATATATATAATATATATATATATTCCCTACTCAGTTAGCAGATTGTTCATCAAATTCAGTTCGCTGACTTCGCAGGAACGATTGGTCACAGACAAGGTCATATCATCAGATGCCTTCCAATGGCAAAGTATGTTGAAGAGCTACTGGGTTCTGGATGAGAACAATGAGGCGAACGCGCAAATGTGCCCCGGCACTGCAACATGTAACCGAAGTCTGAATGCACATTGTGCACCATTGTTCTTTTTGAATGTTCAGTTGCGGACAAGACTCCGGTGTCACCAGCCCCGGACTTTGAGGCAGATTTGTGATGCTCGCATGTGGTATGCCTATGAGTACTTGGGCAACGGACCTCGCTTGGCCAGAGCCTCAATGCGGGTTGCCGAGTTGCAGATCTTTGTGTTCCCAGCTGTCTTTGGGTAAATGGTGAAGCTTATATGTTGGATAAGTTTAATGTTGAACATTTTGACCCATGGCAGGGGAATCCTATGGAACCGTGTGGATCTCCAGCATGGACACCCCAAGAAGCATCCCAGGTGGTGACCCCCTTAACGGATCGTATCTACGTCACGGCCACACAAGCGTTGCATCTCAACATGGGCTGTGCCCCTGCGGGACCTGCTGGGACTGGGAAGACGGAGAGTACCAAGGTGCGACCGGAGTTGGGGCTGGAGATTTTGCGGAAGTTTGGGCACTTGACGCATTCAACTCATTCAACATATCATATACCATATATATACCATTATATGCCCTTGGTATCCCCTGGTAATGGTAAGTGATGGTGGAGTATGAAACCTGGTTCCATGGGGACTGTTGGAAGCCGCAGGAATACGTCTTAACCCGAAGGTATATATAGTTGGATGGGATGTGGGTATTTTTGAGCTCAGCTGGAAAACTACGATAACATGTGAGTAGAACACCGCTCGTTTGCTGAGTGAGACGAGCTGAGCACTTCCACTGAGCTTGATGACACCGTGGAAGGGCCACAAAACAAAACAAGCTGATCGCTGGGAAGCTCAGAACAATCACAGCAAAAGAGAAACAAACTACCTATACGGGCTCACAAGACCACGGCGAACTCATACAGCAGGCGAATGACCTCACATCAGCCAAGCAAAGTAGAAGGAGGGATCCAAGCCCTGAAACGTGTGAGTAGATGAAGCGTTGAAAGAATGCGGCACTGTGGTACGCCTGTTGCAGTGGGATTTTTGCGCCAGCATCTACAGAAACGATCCAACACCCCACAAGGCACACACTTAGAAACACCCCGAAGGGAGACGATGAAGTGAGATGAAATGAAAATTCATGTTTCCTCATGCTGGGTTTTTGGCTTTGCCCAGTTGCCATACTGAGATTACTGCAGGTACACACGGTTGATCAGACCGTGCATCCCACTCCAAGGCATAGCTTCATTGCATTGGGTTTGCCAAGGAGTGCCCAATGCCCCTGCTCGTTGGTATACTAATTCAAAACGAACGATCGAAACCCATGTGCTGCACGCCTGAAGATGCACAGATGTGTCGGATTGGAACTTATATGCAACATGGACTTCTTCGCGCTAGTTACCTTGAACATGTGGTCCCAACCGAACTAATCACCAGAACATTCTCTTTGATTCAGGGTTCAGCACATACACTCACTCACAAGACACGCAAATCCACGGATTGAGGAAGAAACATGCTGGTGGCGCGTGATAGGACAATCATCAAACTTACCAGGTCACCAAGGCAATGCTGGGCACTGACCTTTCGGATCTTATACTAACATACATGCAAAGACTGCTGCGAACTGGGTTGAACATGCTCAGCTGTTATGATGTTTTTCGATAGACTTGCAAGTTCGTAAATCTACGGTCGAACCACTCTCCGCGATTTCGCAAGATGCCTCACGGTGCAGTGGGTTTCTTCGTGCCAGCTATCTAGAACATGTAGTCCGAACTGAACTAATCAACATAACATTCCCTTTGATTCAGGGGTCGGCACACACACAACAAGCCCAGTATGGGCACATGCTTTTCCACCCCTCTTAGGCACGCCTGTTGCTCAGACTAAGTAAATTGAAATGTCACCCCTCATGCCAATTCAGGTGAGCACCTTGTTTGCTTAATTGTAATACAAAACAATAGGTTGTTTGTGTTGGAACAGCGAAGCATTAAAGACCATCAATCATAGAAATATTCATGTGGAAAACTTACCGCCGGATGCTCAACATTCTGGCTGCCATAGCGCGTAATGGCTTGTACGGATAACCAAGTGAAACATACGATTGAATTAAAAACTCAACATCATGCTGTGCTTGCTTGTATGGGTGGCTGTGTCTTGCTGCTAGGCAGATGCGGCTGTATGCGGCAGAGAGCTTGTGTTGTGTGGAAGCTGCAGAGCCAAAAGATTGAAACTGCCAAGCATTGTTTGGTTGAATGTAAGACAATGTATGTTTTTGTAAGTCAATAGTGCAGCCCAAAAAGGAATTGTCTGGTTCATCCTCAAGGATGACCGGTTCTTGGTAAAAGGTGTCTTGTAAGAATGGTTGGATGATTGCGTGGTGCTGTTGGGATTGGTCAATGAGTACAAGCCTGTTGTCAACGTATCGTGTGATCAGTATTCTGTTTGAGTGTGTGTGAAGATATTGTTGTACCTGTGGTCGGTTTAGCCAATCTTGCTCGGTCAGACTGACCGTGATGTTTGCCAGGACTGGGCTGATTTGGTTGCCAATTGCGCTGCCGCGAATTTGCTGAAATGTTTGCTGGAGCTGTGAAAAAATTGATGCCTGGAGAGACAAACTGCATATGTTGTAAATGTCTCCAAACCTGATCTGTCGTTTTGTCATTGCAGCTCGCCGAGGCCGTCCTCGAAAAAGTCGTAGTGTGGTGTCTGGCTGTTGCATGTCCACTGTGAAAACAGTGTCGTTATTTACATGTGGGTGTTGTTGTTGATATTGCTTCAACAGCTTGGCAAGTGCGTGAAGGATGCGGTCTGCTGGTATGGATGTAAAAAACCCTGCCAAATCTTGGTTGTAAATGGCAAGGTCCAGGTCTGCTGGCGCATTGTGAAAGAAAGTGTGGAGTGTATAGAAAATTTGCTGGAGTGATTGTAGTCCAAACGTCTTGGACATGCAGGCTTGAAGCATCTGCTGTAGAACGATGGCTGTGGCTTTGAGAAGCTTCTCAAAAACAAAACCACGATAGTTGATGATGGGCCTGGCGGCAAGGAATTGTTTTTTCTGCTTCAATAGTATGTAGGCTGTTGGGCAGTCGCTGTTGGTGTTGTATGCCCATTTGTATTTGTGAAGCCAGGGTTGATGTGTAAGCTGTTGTAGGTATTGTGTTGCTTGTGGTGGTGTCAAAGTGAGGTGGGTGTATACCGATGAATCTCCAAATGTTTTCTTGAGGACTGTCCAGTAGAGAAAAGGACAATACACAAAAATGGCTGTAGCAGCATGGTCGCGACAGTGAACCACAAACTGTTGCATAATCTTTCTGAGGTATTGAATGTCGCTGTGCCCAATCCATTGTTTGGATTGCTGCAAGTGCTGTGGCCACTGTTGTTCAATGTAACTCTGCCAGTCTGCATACGTGATTGTGTTAATGTTGTAATGTTGCAGCCAGCGTTGTAGTTTGGGCCAAGTTTGTTGACAGTAGTGGTGTTTTGTAGGGTACACTTGTGTGCCAGCATGCGTGGCTAAGAAATTTGCGAGTCGTGCTGGGACATTCAGGTTTGCAGCAGGACTGGCAATATGTGGTTGATCACATATTGTAGTGCTGGTAAGCCGTGGGTGTTTTGCAAAAAGTTGTTGGCAAGAACATGGTGGAGGTTCGTTCCAGGTGAATTTCTTCATCCAGGAAAAGTGGCTGAAAAGGGCTTGTTGCATGGTGGTATGCTTTCCTGCCGTAATGTTGCATTTTGGAATGTGAAAAGGTGGTAGCCATTGTTTGTGTTGAATGGCTATCTGCCGAAGCCAGTGGCGTGTTTGGTGACTGAATGTTTTGTGGCTCAGTAGAGGCAGTATCAGTGGTCTAGGACTTGGCGGTAGTGGTAGTTGTCGAAATTGAATAGCTGATTTGATCAAACTGCGAACTCTTGTTCTTGGTGGATCTTCCATGTTGTTCGAAAGTTTGTAGAGTGCAAATAGGTGATCTGAGTGTGTGTTGTTGGAACGGATAAACTTTTGCATGTCAAACGACCGTTGGCTTTGTTCCGCGAGTACGTGTAGTTGAAGCCAGGCAGTGGTGTGTTTGGACAGGTTGTGGTTGTAAAAGTGGAATACTTGCTTGTACATCATGCGGCGGCGGAGTCGCGCATACAGTCGCTGGCCATGTCCTAGGAATGTGTTGGCGATTGCTTGTCGCAAGTGTGGTGTTGAATGTTGTTTAGTGACCTTGCGCTGCATTATGAGTGGATAGTTGAGTGGTGGGCACCAAAGCTGGATCATGTAACTTTCCAGTGTTCGTGTTTGCAGTTGTGACGAGGTTGTTAATAACGGGAGTGGTACAAACTGATAGTAGTTGCCTTGGCTACAGAACCAATGCAATGCAAGCTCACACGATACTGGTTGACCGTTTTGTAATTGTTTCAGCTTGCGGTGTCGGGTGTTCTGTCGATCATGTAATGTGTGTATGGTGCTGCCGATGTAATGTTCTGTAGACGACAAGTGTATGTTGAGTTTTGCTGTGCCGTAAACATGCAGCAAAATATATACAACATTGGATTGGTGAAACAACTGGCGCATATCCTCAAAAGTGCGGACATCTTTCAAATGTGTCCGACTGAATCTTCGGTTCCATTTTCGACACGAATTTTGATTAGGATGATTTGTAATCCAATACAAAACACAGAAAGAAACAGCAACACGGAGAACCAACCGAACAGATACAGAACAACAGTTTTGATCAAGCGGAAAATGTTCGAGACAACCGAAGAAGACGATACATGCGGCAGCAAACTGTACATGTTTCGGGTCATCTCGATCTAGTCACTCAAGCTGTGTCACCCCAAAAAGCAGCAACTTGTAGAGCTCATCCGCGCGGGCTTTCGATGCCACTGATACTGGCAGGCCGAGTGAGGCGGCCTTGTCTGCAAAGGTGCTTTGCTCGGGCTTTGGGATCTTCTTGAGAAGTCCGGTGAGTGTTGCAAGAGCTTCTTGCAATGCTGCTTGGTGTTGTTTGGGAATGCTCTGCTTTTTGATCCAGGCATCAACGGTTTTGGCCGTGCTGTTGTTGGGCGATGCTGAGGCAAATGGCCTGACAGTATTGGTACCAGGGAGTTGCGTGATTTTGGCTTGAAGGTCTCCAATAGTAGTGCTGGTTGGTACATCATGTGCGCCCGCTGCCGGTACGGCAGTGGGTGAGGTTGTGTGTTTGCGTGTTCTTTGTGTGTCTTTGGTGTCATGGTTGCCCGGCCGTTTGGTGATCCCCATGTCCGTCAAAGTGCGCGATCTTTTGGCCGTTTGTGTGTTGGATGTGTCGGGCTTTCGTTTGCGTGCGGGTGTTGGTGACGGTGGTGCTTCATCAGGTGTGGTTGGCGGGTGAGGTTGTGGGGATGCGGCTTGCTCTTCGTCAGTGGGTACCTGGGAAATGGTCTGGGTTGCTGCTAGCTGTGCTTCCAGCTGTCGAATTTTGTCTTGGGCTTCTTGTAAGCTTGTATTGGAGAATTGCCGGAAATGATCCACTGTGGAATTCACAAGGTGGTGAATTTTGGCTTTTTTGAGTTGATTGGGATCTGGATCGGTGATCGCAATACCTTGCTGCTGGCAATATGCTGCTGCAATGTCATCTAAATCCATATGCTCATCTCGAAGTTTCATGGACAAATGGTGGAAGAAAATGGACTCTTTGATGCTGCGGGCAAACACAAGTGATGTGAATTTGCCATTGGCTAAGGCTCGAAGGCTCCAGTTGGACCAACCAAGGTAAGCCAATTCATACAGTCGTACGGAGTCAATGGGTCTTCCTGCTAGATGATACTTCTGACTCCAGGCTGTTGAGGTGACTTGGCGAGGAAAGGAAAGGCCATACTGTTGCTTGGTGTCAAAGTGGTTGGCATCAGGTTGGAAATTGGCTGGTATGTCTCGGTTGAACTGTTTGGTTCCTTGTGGGCTTGGTGGTTCATGTCGGTACTGTGAGTCAGGATGCTGGTATGTTGCTCGTGGTGGTGTGTGCGGTGCTGAATGCTGGTGCTGGTGCCAGTTCCACGGTCTGCTGGTGCTTCGCCACGACATGACTGTACAATGAAAGAACGATCGGAGCGGTACTTGAGCACGAATTAGCTCAGTCTGAAGAAACAGTTCAATTTTCAAGACATTCCAATAGCAACTGCTGCTTGAAGGTTAAAGGACATCATAATCTGTACAACGCACGGACGACTCGCTCGGTGTGTGTGAGCAAAGTTGCTCTGCTCACACTTGCACGTTATCAAGCTGCTATAAACTTCTGCTGAAACCAACTAATGAAAGCAATAGGTTCTGTCTATGCTGAACTAATCATGAAACCTTTGATGGTAGTATGGTGTCAATCCTACATGATGTTTGTTGAAGGACTCAACCACGCGCATAAAATCCACAACAAAAGCCAGGTCAACCTATTGTCGTAAATGGTGCGAATTTCACCTTTTTTCACCTCACGTGTGGTATGGACTCTGTGTTGAACAAGCTGGTGAAAATGTGTTGTGACAAGAATTTGCAAACCTGGTTTGCCGTTTAAAACGAACATATTGTCGCTTGTTCACTTGGTGAAACTACGGGGCAAGAGCTGAGGTTTAATAACCTCTCATTTCCACATCGGTTTGTAAAGTCAGCCGCGGAGCATCTTCACGCATCAGATCACTTTGCGGTGGCTCTGTTGTGTGTGCTTGTTGTTCAAGAATCCAAATGGACTGAATGGATGCTATCGTAGCGTGGATACACCACCTTTTGTCCCTTGCCCGATGTACGATGCCATGCGTCTCGACCTCTTCCTGCTCTGTGTATGTGCCCCCGCTTGGGACGGCTTTGTGTGTTGCCCATAAGGTACCGCCAAGTACAAAAGGAACATGTGCCTTTCCGCTGAGATAGCGGTCTACTACTTTTTGAACGATGGTGCTCTCATCCATTGTTGCTGCACAGAAGAAGCCTTGAGATTGCCTGCCTGACATTGTTTCAGAACATGTTGGTAGTACCATCCCGTACAGTAAAGTTCCTAAGAAGCCTGTTTCACTGGTGGCGTGCGCCCAATGGTATTGGCAGTTGCTTGCTTGCGACATTGCTGTAGAGGTGCTGCGTGGCATGTTGCGTAGGTGTAATTGCCACACTCGGTATTTGTCATGCTGGTGGAACGTGATGCGGGCAAGCGTAGTTTGGATAGGCATCCCAGTTGTAACAATATATTTTGACAGTGTATGAATGATGTGTTCTTGTGGTAGGTCAATCCCTGGTGGGAAAGATGTTTCAAGCAAGGTAGCAATTTCACGAACACTGCTATCTCTGTCTTGCAAAAAACGAAAGTACACTGATGGGGGGGTGAGTTCCTGAGTACGTGCTGCTGCTGAGTGCAAGCGCTGCTGAAGTGCTTTGTAATTGAACGGGTGGTAATGGTTTCTGATTGGCGGCTGCCATGGTGTAAGTACGGATGTGTTGCTGTCGATATTGCGTTGAACAGCTGCTTCAAGTGGGTCGTCGGAGTGGTCTTGTGTTGTTGTTGGTGTCATTGCTAAGTTAGATGATGTTGCCGTTGCTGTAGTAGTGGATCCGTGCCTGGGTTGTGGCGCCGTACTGGCCGGTATGGCGTTGGAAGTGGCTGTTCGTGTTGCCACTCGTAGGACTTGGGCTGATAATGTCTGTGGTGGCACCGTTGTCGGTTGTGGCGCTGGTGGCGGTGGCGGAGGTGATAGTGGTGGTGGTAATAGTGGTGGTGGTAGTGGTGGTGGCGGTAGTAGTGGTGGTGGTAGTGGTGGTGGCAGTAGCAGTGGTGGTGGCATTATTGTGTGTGCTGGTGTCTGCGGTGTTGGGCTTGCTATGTTCCCAGACTGCGTGGGTGCTTGGTGTTGCTGTCGTCGAGTGGATGAACGCTGATGATGGTGATGCTTAGCGTGTCTGGATCTGGGTCTGGACGATGTGCTGGGATTTCGTTCTGACCGTTTTGCCCTTGCTCTGCTGCGTGACTTGCGGTGATATTGTCGGCGATGTTGACGCCGTGTGCTTCGACTTCTTCTTCGGCTCCCACGCCTAGATCGTGGAGTATTTGAGCGCTTGCGTCGCCGGCTGGCGTGATGTGGTGAATGTTGTTCCACTCGTTGAGGTTGAGCGCATGTAGAATGAACAGGTGGCTGTGTGGCTAGTGATGGTAAGATATTGTCTGTGTGGCTGGGTTTTGCTGTGTGTTGATGTGCTGGCGATGTGTGCTGTCCATAGTCAAAAAGGGAGCCAGTCAGGAAGTCTGGATAGTTTTGGCTTGTTGTTCCAAACAATGTAGCAGGAGCTGCTGCTGGCAATGGTGGTTGGTAAGCTGGAAAAGGTGCTGGGGATGCTGTGGCTGGAATCATGTGCATATGTGCCGGGCTAGTAGGTGTTGGTGTATAGAGCTGCTGCTGTGCTGCTGGAACTGAAACTGGAAATGTTGAGTTTATGGCAAATGGCGCTGCCGTGGATGTTGTTGGCATGGTCAGCTGAGATGTTGTTGATAATGCTTGCTGAGGAGTTGGGTATGAATTTGTTGGTGGTGACTGTGTGTTTGGTGTCCACGGTGGTGTCCCAAACATGTGTCGATACATCCAGTCTGCTGACGACGGCATATGCTCCATGAGGTAAGCGCAAACGCGGCTACTTGCCCACTGGTGAAACTCAACTGCGGAATCAAATGAAACAATACTGTGGTTGAAGCTTGTTAGGGGGAATGACACGAGGAATTCTGAAATGAAAACTCTGAGGAGGAATCTGATGGAAAAATCTGGCTTCGAAGATCTGGTATCAAATCTGGTTCTGAAGAGTGAATCTGTGCAGTGGTTTGACGCATGGTGCGAGATCTACTTCTGTAGCATGATAAGGTGCGAACACCTTTGAACCGAATTCCGTTGGATCAACCGGCGCGGTGTAACTCTGAACAAAATCTGGTATCCCCAGCGGGCGCACCGCCAAGCTTCCCTGGCACTGTATCAGAAATCCAGGTGCGTGAAAAGCACTACACACTTAGAAACACCCCGAAGGGAGACGATGAAGTGAGATGAAATGAAAATTCATGTTTCCTCATGCTGGGTTTTTGGCTTTGCCCAGTTGCCATACTGAGATTACTGCAGGTACACACGGTTGATCAGACCGTGCATCCCACTCCAAGGCATAGCTTCATTGCATTGGGTTTGCCAAGGAGTGCCCAATGCCCCTGCTCGTTGGTATACTAATTCAAAACGAACGATCGAAACCCATGTGCTGCACGCCTGAAGATGCACAGATGTGTCGGATTGGAACTTATATGCAACATGGACTTCTTCGCGCTAGTTACCTTGAACATGTGGTCCCAACCGAACTAATCACCAGAACATTCTCTTTGATTCAGGGTTCAGCACATACACTCACTCACAAGACACGCAAATCCACGGATTGAGGAAGAAACATGCTGGTGGCGCGTGATAGGACAATCATCAAACTTACCAGGTCACCAAGGCAATGCTGGGCACTGACCTTTCGGATCTTATACTAACATACATGCAAAGACTGCTGCGAACTGGGTTGAACATGCTCAGCTGTTATGATGTTTTTCGATAGACTTGCAAGTTCGTAAATCTACGGTCGAACCACTCTCCGCGATTTCGCAAGATGCCTCACGGTGCAGTGGGTTTCTTCGTGCCAGCTATCTAGAACATGTAGTCCGAACTGAACTAATCAACATAACATTCCCTTTGATTCAGGGGTCGGCACACACACACACAGAACATGGTTTTGTTTTACGCCTCTGCGGCAAACATAATTAAGAATCAAAACTATAGGTCTTTGTGTGTGGCATCATGTTTCAAACTTCCGCACATCCGACTTAGCCACTGATGATTTCAAGTGTGGGCCATAACTTTCAAGAACCCCAGCCAACTTTGAAGAGTTTGAGCCATCATTTCTAGTTGAAGGACATTCTACAATTCGACGAGAAAGCCTAGTTCTTTTTACCCATCAACGGTGGGTTCCTGAAATCTTTCCCCTCCAATTCTGGGAATCACATTTGTCCATTGCAGGATTTGGCAAATGCGTTGGCTCGGGCCTGCTATGCGACCTGGTGGTTACAACGGTTGCTGCAGATTCCATTGGAGAATCTCCATGTTTGGCTGGGTAAAGCTCAATTTTGCCCGGTGCTATTAATCAATCTACATCATGATTATCAATGATCATCAATGATCATCAATGATTATCAATGATTATCATGAGTTGTTTTACTGAATGGACTAAAGTCAGTTTCACTCGGGCGATTGCTACTCTCCTGGCACCCCGACAAGCCATGTGTGGGTCCATTGGTTCCGCTTTGACCTGTTCACGAATCTCAGGTGATTAATGCAGCTCCAGAGATGGACTACTTGACCCTGGGTCGCTTGGTACATCTCTGGGATGATGATTTCAAGTGACTAGTGAGGTTGAAGTCACCAGAAAAGCATTCCTTGTCATCATTTCAAAGCCGCTCGACATACATGCCCAACCCCATGGAACTTCATCATCCCATCCACAAGACAATATAGGCAGCTGCGGCAGGATGTTACCGCCCAGGCAACATCTTCAAAGGTTTGGCGGCCAGCGGTTCCTGGGGCTGTTTCGATGAGTTCAACCGCCTGGTGCCCGAAGTCCTGTCCGTGTGCACGGCACTCCGGCAGGAAGACGTGCTGTGTGACATGCTCAAACACTCAGAGAGAACCCTACATGTTGGAAAGATGAAGGCATTGATATTTGGAAGATTTTTAAAAGCATGATGTATATATATATATATACACAATATATTATAATATTGTATATGCATATTATGTATACACAGCTCCCGCCGGGGAACATCCTAAGAGGACGAAAGGCGATTTAAAACTCCAGAAGTGAACGCTCTTGAGCTTTCTCTTTTTCATCTCATGCTCTGCCACAGCGGCTTCTGAGAGCATGTCACATGCAGGTGTCCGAAGAGTGACACAGACAGAGTGGATTGAATATAATATATATATACAATATAAATAGATGTATGCACATACAAACATATCTTATATATATATGATACACACACATATATATATATAAGTATGATTGTTACAATGGCAGTAGTGTACCCCAGTTGCCAACCACTTTTCCATCTCCCAAGTCATCCCTCGGTTCCCCCAGTCGGCCTATGTCGGCCTCAGGTGCAGTTCAAGGCGGTGTGCGATGGCTTGCGGCAAGGCCTGCCACGTTTCATCCTGCAGGGGGATGAGATACAGCTGGACCGAGGTGCCATGGGCGGTACAAAGGACGGTTAAACATCCTGAAATCTCACCTGCATTTCGAAATCAGATTAAATTTAGGCCCTTTTGGAAGAAGATGATCATGTGACCTTTGGCCTTTGGACATTTGAATCTTCATCTTAATTCTTTGAAAGTGCGGAGATTCTTCATGAGCAGAAAGCTACCAGGTATCCACTAAAAACTCTTTCTGTGGCCCCTTTGGATCCCCAATGGGGCCTCCCATATTTCTACGCAGGTGTTGGCGTCTTCATCACCATGAACCCGGGCTACCTGGGACGGTCTGAGCTGCCGGAGGGCTTGAAGGCCCTCTTCCGACCCATCACAGTGATGGTGCCCGATTTCATGCTCATCATGGAGAATATGTTCCGCGGAGAATGGGCCTGTTGACCATTGGGATACCATTGGGATAGCATTGGGATAGCAAATTTACTAGATGATCACACTAAGGGTGGATGTTCGTGGGGTGAAAGTTTCTAAAAAGAGTTGAAACAGCAATATTTTTAGTGACCACTTAATTTTTCAACGAGAATGTCCAGCTTATACCTTGGGACTCATGGCCGGAATGTCATCACCCAGTCACCTTTTGCTTTCCCCTCAATTATTCGAACGACCTCGCCGGAAAGGATGTGTTTCTCTTTTGATCCAGATGTTTGCACGGCATTTATCCCTTAGTGTCCATGAGTTCTGGACGGATTCTCGTTGTGCTGAGGTTCATGTCTGAGGGTTTTCTGGATGCCAAGAAACTGGCTCTGAAGTTTTCCACCCTCTACGCCCTGAACAAGGACAGCTTCAGTACTTACGTGATAGTTTGTGCAAATGTTTGTTGGTTTATCGAACAAACCCATTTGTTTATTCATCATGTCCTTCTGGCGAGAGACACATTAGTTTTCCATTGTTTCTCAGTCGCTTAACTTATCCATACTCACAATGTGGGGCCCCCTAGTTATAAGTTGGTTCATAACCCCATCTAACTATGGTTATAACTACTATAAACCCTAGTTATTGTAGTTATAAACCAACTTAGCTATCTTGGGGGCCCCACATTGTATCCACTACCTTCTGATTTGTATTGACCTTTGATCCCTTGAATTCGATTGTTTTTTTTCATCAGCATATATTCCAAGACGTATTCCATCAAATGTGCTCTACCCTTCCTCCCAACCTGCCACCATGCAGGATCTCTTGTCCAAGAGCAACAAGTATGACTGGGGCACCTGGGATCTCGGGGCCATTGCTACTGGTGAGATCACCTGCAAAGCCATGGAACCCACAAACAAATTGAAAAACAAGTGGTGCTATGGAACATAGTTATACATTTTTTTTTACGTATTTATACAAATTTGAATTTGATGATCATGAGCCTCAACACAAGGAATGTCCCCGAAAATGGCTTTCAACCCCTTGTTCCCAGTCAGTGCGGGATTCAAGCTCCCTTCGTTTGAGCAATACCCAGTGTATACTTCTGGTTGAGTATTATCCAGGATGGTATTGTCATGTATTGTCTAAGTCTAGGTCAATGGATTCTATCATCCGCACTTGCAATAGGAACCCAACCTTCAAACCAGTAGAGGGGGATGTCATCGATCTGGTCCCATTCTCCGTCCATAGTGCTTTGAACACTGACATAGCTGGGATGACAGCGACGGTTCACAACGGATAGCTTGAAATTAGGCATGCGCGCCATCAAGTCGGTCCTGGTGGTGGCTGGTGGCTTCAAGCGAGCAGATGCCAGTCTCAGCGAGCAGGTTGGGGGTTTCTGATCCATCAAGTCTCGGAAGCCGCCGGCCCTGATAGTTTTTTCCCCAGCTGGATCCAGACATATGGGGGTCTCCCCACAAAAGACCGACATGAAAATGTATGCTGAAAACATCTTAAGATCTTCAAAGAGGTGGAATATATTATTGAATACATAGAGAGAGAGAGAGAAAACGGATTATATTCCTAGAGATCAACTTATGTACCTTTCTTGGGGCCTCAGTGTCCATCCATTAGAGCTGTGGCTGAGAGAAATCCCCACAGGCAGTGCTGATGCGATCCTTGCGGGACACCAACGTGGCCAAGATCGAAGGACTCGGGGATGATGGGGTCCACTTTCACGGTTGGCAAATGGGCCATAGATGCCATAGATGCCATAGACTGTATGGAATTGGCGGGTTAAGTTCCGGATTTTGAACCCAGACCGACCAAATTTCATGGAATTGCATGGAATTCATTCCAAAATCTTCGAAAAAAACAGCTGACTGATGGGTGACAAATCGAACTGGGACGTCTCACTACCCCCCTGCAGTCAGATCTGTGGCAGGAGACGACCTGAAAATCTTCATGGGTCTATTGGCTGACCTCTTCCCCAGCGTTGAGGTGAGCCGGTGAGCGAAATTGTGAAGAAACGATGATTGGAGGGTCACTGATGCCTCAGTTCCCAGTAGTTAGTATAGTTTTTGGATGTACCCTCTGGTAAATTAACAGTTGGACCCTGAAAATCACCAATTTTTAGAGGAAACTAATCTTCCAACCCCTATCTACCAGGGTCTATGTTAATTTACTGGAGGGTATTTGCTTGGTAGCCAATGCCTATCAATGCCTATCAGCCGCTGGATGAAGTCGCTTGGATGTCAACCTTCAGGATGGCAATAGTTGGGCATGGGATGCGTGTCATCATCAGTGCTGCAGCAAGCTGTGAGGTGCCGCGAGCTCGAGATACCGAATTCGAAGAGATCGTCGTTGAAACAATGGAGACTGAGCGACTCGCCTGCAAAAAAACGGTGCTCCGCAGATGTTTTTTTTGGCGGTCGCCATATATGTTGCCATTTTTGATCATGTTTTGGTGGCCACTGCCTGTCACTGCCCGATGTATTTTTCTAAGGTTTGGCTTCACCAATGACCCAGATGGATATCTTCTTCTGAAGGTGTCTCAGCTGATCGAGTTGTTGGAGATTCGCCACTCCGTCTTCCTCATGGGCAATCCGGGAAGTGGCATGGCTGCAGTTGAAAGGATCTCTCGTGAACTCTCCGTTAGTTTCAAGAGTAAAAGCCATGAAACAGCCAAGATTGTATGACAATGAGAAAGGGTTGTGCTTCAAATTTTGCAACTATTGCACCATATTACACCTATTACACAAAGTCCCCCTCTTGAACCAATCCATTACAAGGGAGCCACGGCCTGCCACCGGGAGGCTTCAAGTCCTTCCTCTGGAAGGTGCTGAAGAGCGCCAAGACCAAGCGAGGCGACAAGACCACCGTGGTGGACTTCAGCCCCAAGGCCATTACCACCAACGAGTTGCACCCTGGCGTTCAAGCGTTGGGGAAATGTGGGGAACATGATTTAAGGATATTTAAGGATATTTAAGGGCTTGTGCATAGGTTTGAGGATTGAGGAGGTACATATGTGATGGAGAGAGAATGTGTCATAATGTGTCCATTTGTGCATATTCATGATGAGACTTTGAGCAGATATCCATGCATGATTGCTGTGAATCACTTTGTTCCCAGTTTTCGTGTTGGAGACGCTACTGTATTTAAGAGATTTCAAAAGAACCCAGTCCATGGTCTCTGGCTGGTCATGGACCTGGAAGCAAGGTATGGCAGCGTCAACATGCACACGCGCGAGTGGAAGGATGGCATTTTATCCAAGACGATGCGTGACCTGGGGCAGATCCCTGACACTCATCCCAAGTGGATTATGTTGGATGCTTGGCCGTGCGATGTCCGGATGTCTCCCAGTTAAACATGTCCATTTTTTGGCTGGCAATGCCAAATCATGCCATAAATCTGATGCTGCTGTTTGCCTTGTAGAAAGCTCTGCCCAGAAATGCTGGTGACATCCCCTCTTTTGTTTCAATGGATTGGTTTAAGGGAAAATTTACAGGAAAACACCATATTTGATGGGAAAATCCATGGTTTCCTGTATAGATTTTCCCTTAAACCAATCCATTGATTGTTGCTTTGTTCACAAGTGAAACCTCGGTAAAAAATGTTCGACGTCCGCGTTTCCTAGGACGGCGATTTGGACGCCAATTGGATTGAATCCATGAACAGCGTCATGGACGACAGTCGCTTGCTGACCCTGCCTTCCAATGAAAGAATTCCTTTGAAGCTTCACATGAAGATGATCTTTGAAGCTCGGCACTGAGATCGTGGGACACAAATCTGGGGTGATAACATGTGATAACCGGATGGATTCTCCAAGTAATTCCGGTACTTATCAGTTGGTCGACTCAAGTCTAGTCGATTTCTTGGGTCTGAATATACCGCGATATATATATACCACCATATAATGAGGTCTTAGCCACTTTAGCCATGCACCTGCCATCGATTCCAACTTCAGAGAAGATCCAGAGAGAGTTGGGCCCAGGAGATTCGTGATCTCAATTATGCGACACCTGCCACTGCCACCCGAGCTGGCATTGTGTATCCTGGCAGGGACGGCAGGGATGAATCGCATCGAATCGCCATGCAGTACTTCTGTAGGGATTGCACTGAAGAGTTGCCCTCAGTTTATCTAGCATTGACATGGCAATCGACGCGCCACCATTTGGATCCATCTGGAATGGAATTTCACCTTGAAATCCAAGTAAATCAATAGTTTCTCGGTGCTTTGTTGGATCACTGGCGGGGATTTCTTCGTGGCCGACTTAGCTTCATGCCACCCAAGAAGGCGATGGTATGTCGATAGTATGTCTGGATCCAAGCCCAGGGGGATCCAACCTAGGGTGGTTAGTTTACCATAGATTAATGATGGTTAATATATGGTTAATATATGGTTAATATATGGTTAATATATGGTTAATATATGGTTAATTAACCACTATTATACCTAATATCATCAAATTTCATGACATTTCAATGTGGGAGTTGCCCCCAGAGAGGAATCCAAAAAATCTCATGATCCAAATGCGACTTGGTGTCGTCTAGGTGCATGTCGGACAAAGAAGGCGTGCAGTGGAAGTGCTATGTGAAATCCTGGGTGAAGAAACTCGCATATCCCGAGCCCGTGAAAGAACAGCTGTCGAATTTCTTTGAGAAGTACTGCCCTCCAACGTTGAATTGGATACGCTCCTTGGTGTAGCAGGCACTGGGTTGTACGAAGAGGACTGAGTAGGAAACTTTTGGAAGCGTGCCAGTTCAACATGGTTCACCGCCTTTCGCCTTTAATGATTTGCATGTCCCATCAGTGGCATCTTGACCACCAGATATGACCAGATTGCAGGGTGATTTTCACCCATTTTTTAATCCCATTCCCCAGTTCCAAGGAAAGTCGACCAAGTTACAAGTGCCATATGTCGACATCTCGCTGGTCAGCTCCTTGTGTAGTTTGTTGGATGCGCGTCTGACATCAAACAATTTGGAGCCTTGGAACCAGCGATGCTGATGGTGGTTTCGATTGCTGGGCAGCTTGAAGCTTCCAAAAATCCTTAGTCGGCGCATGACAGGAATATCCAAAAAGGTCTGGGAATGTTCAAAACCTACTGCAGCATATCGGCAGTATCCATATTCTACCCACATGATTTGTTGATTTCGCATCTTCCAGCCATATTTTTCCTTAGAAATTCATGATCACGAAAGGTAGCGTCAGCTACCTGAGTTCTCCGTGCTTCAGCACAAGCTTAGGGGGTATTGGGGGGCCAGCCCACGGAATTCATGGAATTCTCGCCGTTATGTATTGGATATCAATTATAAGGGGGGGCCCCCCCCCCGAAAATGGTCATGGGTTCAATTCCCACGGGTGACGCGGTCACGGGCCCCCACATTAGAGGCACACTTTCCATGAGGGAGATGTCCCTGCAGTCCAGCATAATTGGTATGCTTCAGCCTCAATAACAGTTGCTGCAAGGGGTCTTAAAAAGGGGTTTTAAATAAACCCCTTTTCGTGCATCATTTCACGCTGCACAAGACACCGTATCATGCAGTCATGCTCTGGATAAAATCATCTTAGACTGCGCAAAAACGTTTTTGGTGTATCATCTTACGGGCGCAGCATTTTGACACCACTCCTCTCCCACTACACTACCTTTCGTCCGCCTCCGCCTGCTCTCAAGTTCATGAAGAATCCATCTAACTTCCAATTTTCATGGCTTTTCCCAGGGTTTTCCCATGGTTTTGCCACCCCTTGGGTGCCCCAGTTTCCCCGAGACACCGAGACGTTTCGAGTTTCGAGGACTCTTTGGAGACGTGGTTCGCCTTCTGCACCATCTTCGCCATGGGCTCCTGCCTGGCAGAGGTGGACGGTATCGACTATCGGAAGTTGTTCAGCAACTGGTGGAAGAATGAGATCCTTGGTCCATGGTGCTGGATTAGAACATATACATAATATTACATAAATAATATAATATATATAATATTATATATGTAGAATATATATAATATTAAATACAAGTGGCAGTTTAGTAATAGAGTAACTATAGTACAGTTGATAAACTATATAATTATTCACTATAGTAATATAGTAGTAGAGTTAATTTGGAGGAGAACTAGTATACAAAGTAATTACTTGGTATCATATCGCCAGTAATTATATCATCAATTACCTAGCATAGAGTAGTATCCAATATAGTTGTTTACTTGTATAGACACAACAGCATGTTGTCATAATTATAGCCATGTAATTGTTAGTATAGATGAAGACCCAATGAATTAACATAGTTATAGACTGTTATAGAGTTATCATTGTTGGAGTAATTTATATATATATATATATATTACAGAGTAATCATTGTAGATAATCAAATGCCATTTGTAATATAAGTAAATTATTAGTAAAGACTAGTATCCAATGTTCTATCCAAGAATTGTTATGTTAAAACCAGTATAGATGATCAGTATCCAATGCATTATCACAGTTATAGTCATAGGCTTAGACATGGATTCTTAGTATCCAATGAACTACCATAGCAAAAATTATCCTAGAACTTGTTTAGAGAAACAATTGGATGGATTAGCCATGATTAGCTAATACAAAAAACTGATATTCATCATTCTCTTATCAATTATTGTTGGGAAAATTGGATGGATTACCTGCTTATTCCCCAATGTTCAATGAGCGAATTGTTCAGTTTCGAGAGTCAAGATGTAGTTGATGAGGGGCGAGATTTTGTAGAATGATCATCAGAGATTTTGAGGCATGCCTGGTCATTTTTGGGATTTGGAATATTCTGGAACCATCCATTTGGATGCGTCTGAAAATCGTGTAGATCCCCTAGTCACTAGTTGGCCATTTCATACGGAAGATGATGATCAACCATCAACTCTTGGGGCGCCCTACTTTCAGACAAATCCCAAAGACGTGATTTTTCTTGGCATCATGGACTTGGGGAAATTCTCGTGGATTCCCTCTTTTCACCCATGGCCAACACCCATGGCCACATATTGACCAAATCACCAAAAAAGCATAAACAAGCCGTCCATCAGCCCATCAGCAGCCGTGGCCGAGGATGAAAACGGTGAAGTACCCCACCAAAGGCTTGGTCTTCGATCTCTACGTCCGTGACATGCGATTGGAGGAACTGACGACCAAGGGCCTGGTAGGGTGAGAAGTTTGAATGATTGAATATGGTAGTTTCCTAAAATGGATCTACCCTACCCCATTTATTTCATGGAGAATCCTATCAAAATGGATGAAAACTGAGGGTACCCCCATGGATTGGAAGGAAACGGCCTCGCTTGTGCCCATGGATTTGTCTTGCTTGTGCCCGGGTAGCCGCTTTCCACTCGAGCTACTGTCCCCTAAAAGTAGACCATAACTGTTGCTGCATGCCTTCAGGTCTTATCCACTTGGATTGAATGATCCCAGTAAGGGAGTTGAAACCATCAACTAGTTGAGAGCCTGCTGGATCCTCATGGTTCCTCAATGTTACTGATATAGCCTTATTGTTCATATTGCGGCCCAAAAGTGACAAAGATGACTAATCGACTAACCTCCAAAGTGAGATGATTTTCTTGCAACCGACCGAACCGTGCCCATCAACGCTCCATTTGTGAATCATATCCATGAGTTGAGGGAAACACCTTGCCACTGCCAGTCTCAATAAATCAAGGGTTCATGAAGTTCATGGGTTCAATGGGTTCTATTCTGAAAGGTTTCTTTCCCTGGTGATATGGGTTTGCCTGAGAGCAGGGTACCTCCAAATTTCCATGGTTTCATATACTGTTCCCTGTTAGAAACGATTCAAGAGTGCAATTCGGGGTATGCCCCATTTTCAGACATACCCGTATTTCCCCAACCACCTCCAGCAATTGATTCATTTGCATTTCAAATCATCATTTTCTCCATTGAAAATCCCAAAAAAATCACCATGTCTAGACTATCCACTGGCATCACCATGTCTGTATCAACCCAGCCGCAGGAATGGGCCAACCTGGTGGAACCCATTCACTACCGCAGCACGACCCCTATGGGTGAAATCACCGTACCGACCACCGAGACCGTCTGTCGCTTGGCTCGCTGGGCTCGTTGACAACAGTTGGGGTGTGTCATAGCTTGGGGTTGACCGCAAGATGTGGCTATATTTCAAGATTTTTTTTTGGGGAACATGAGGTTTAAAGATGCTTGACTTTAAAGCCTGAAATTTAAGTGGGGTAGCCTATTTGGATGGTTGGACGGATGGGAAGGCAGTACGTGGTACCACGTGGTTCCATCGATTGAAAAGAACCCAGTGGGTTCAGATATTTCAGATCTTTGACTCTCATCACTATATCTCATCACTATGGGAATTAGCTTGGATATCCTGGGATGATTCTGGGGCCTCAGCCAACAGCGTCTTCACCCTACGCTGCATATGGCGCCTTGGTCCTCATCGGATCTAGGCTTGGACTATTTCATGAGGGCCTTGATCGAAGTCCAGCAACCGGCCACTGGGCCAGCTTGGATGGTGAAAGTCAAGATTCAAGAGGTGGTTTCAAACATGGTAAACCTATGGCATATACATAATTATACAAAAAATATATGGATTAAAACCTATGAAAAACAGATGTGGGGGTGACAAACATCATATTTATCATATACTGGGATGAACATCCACAAGCATCACCTATTTTGTGAACTAGAGTGTGCCAGCCAGGGAGTTGACCCGTATATTTTTATTTTAATAACATAACATATGATATAATATGTATATGCGTCGCTGCGTCTGACCTCCCATTCTTATTCGGGAAGATGATCCAGCTCGACCAACATTTTTTTTAAATAAGGCCGCTACTAGTAGCTTGCCAAAAACTAAAATAGGATCCCAAAAATATGGATTTGGAGGATGTTTCCCTTTTCGAAGTGACAACTGCTATTTCTCTAGGTGGGTTCCACTGGTTCAGTGGAGGGCTGATAAGCCCTTTAGAACTGGCTTATCACTTATACACCTGAAATTGATACCATCTGGTTCTTTAACATAGCCATGGAAAATCACCATTTTTAATAGGTAAACCATCTATTTCTATGGGCCATCTATACCATGGCTATGTTAGTCATAACCAGAGGGTAGGATCCCGGAAGATTTCCACGTCGCCGTGAGGTGATGCTGATTGGCTTGGCAGGTTGTGGTAAGACGCAGTCCTGCACGGGCTTGTTGAAGAAACTCAACCCGGAGGCGGCAATGGCCTTGGTGGTGGCGGTGAAAGAACCGTAGGTCGCCTAAGGATGCCTAAGGTGGTATTGGAAAGACTAGGGCATGGAACCAAGGGAACTGAGAAAATCTGACATTGCGAAATTTTGCTGCTGGAAGGATGTGAAAGGTTGTTCTCACGTGTGCGTATATTTCTTGAATCCTGTTGAGGATTCGGATATGAGCTGCGAAGAGTGATGAAGTGAAATGTGAAGTTGTTGCTTTCCAGCCTATGAGACAAGGGTAGGGTGTTCAATCTGCAGTGAGCTACGGTTCAACCCAGCGGAAGGCGATGGTTTTGTTGGTCAGGTGTTCATGGGCTACAAGATGAACATGAGCTACTACACCGACTCAGCCATGCTTCAAACCATGATGGAGATTCCATTGGAAAAGAAAGCAGGGAGACTCTATGCTCCCCCCGGAAAGCTGCAGATGATCTATTTCATTGACGACTTGAATATGCCAGCACTGGACAAGTACAACACCCAATCAGCCATTGAGCTCATCAAGCAGAAACAGGACTACAGCCATTGGTACGACCGCGCCAAGATTCAAGTCAAGGCGTAACGGGTTCATGGTGATGGCATGGCCGGTGTGGGCGATGCACATTGGGATAGTGTGCGAATGCATGGAATTCTGAAGATTCTGAAGGGAAGGGACCAGGGGGTCACCATGAATCAGCGTTTGAGAGCGATCCATCTATATAGATATACAAATATCAGTCATCATAAATGAATTTGTTGTGCATGCTGTGTTTTGGTTTGCGCCGCTGTTTTTCTGGGGGCCTGTAGTTTTTGACATTCTCGTGGGGGTTAGCGCATTCAAGTCAAGCATTTCTGATGCAGCTGGCCAAGGGTTGCTGTGAGTGCTACGTAAACTCATTTGGCCTTGCTGGAAATTGGTCGGTGAATGGAGCCCCACGCACATGCAACTCACATATGTCAATAATTATGTATGTGTGATAATCATGTGCATAAATTTATACGTAGTGTATATATATTTATCTTATATATATATATGTATATAGACATGTCTTCTATGTGGGCAGCCATATGGTCCAATTTCTCATTTGTTCCTGTGTACAGCATGCACGTACCTCAAACAAGCTCAAACTATGACATGTATTGACATATATTATTTGTATCTCTGCAGGCCACTGAACGTGTGTCTTTTTGGCACTACCCTTGGTATCGGCTGCAGGACATTGGCAGCACCCAGTACCTGTGTTGTATGAATCCCACTGCTGGATCCTTCACTGTGAATGAGCGCCTTCAACGCCACTTCTGGACCTGTTCCGTGCAATTTCCAGAGCAAAGTGCGCTGAACGAAGCTTGGGCGTTGTGAGGGACGAGATATCCCATGGGTGATTGGTATAGGTTAAGCTACTCCAGATGACCAGATGATGTTTCCAGCTGGCTTGCTGCTTCTTAGAATCAAGATAGCCAGAAGGAAAAGGGACACGTTCCTTTAGTGTTTGGATCTTACTCCGAAAAACCATTCATCACATCGCAATGCTTTTGAAGCAACACCATACTTGGGGCGGCCGGAGTTTCCTTTGGTGTTGGGAAATTAACCAAAAATTGGTCCAAATTTACCTCAGTCCTTTTGTTTGCCCCAAATTGAAACCACATGCAGACAGTGCCTGAGGTCATCTATTCGACCTTCATGACACCTGGTAGCAAGCTGTGGTGTGCTGGGAGGCGACTGTCGATGTATCACACAGCCAGAGAATGTTGAAGGCTTGATACGGGTTTCTCTTGAAATATGATGCCTGAATTTCCTATGGTTCATCATCATTTTCCCTTTTATTATTAAAATATATCAAACTGCAATTTGTCAATTTGTGAGTCTTCCCAAACAAAGCCATGCAAGTTGTTGGTGTTAATATCTTCTGCGGTCTTGACATATTTTGACAGCAAGACATTTTCCATGGAACCTGGTGCATTTAGTTTGCACCAAACGGCTGATAGCGTAACTCAAGCGTCCTTCACTCGCGTCTAACTCAAGCGTCCAACTCGACTCAGGAAGGGACACTTCGAGACGTTGCAATTCAAAGTTCCAGTGCAGGAGATCGGCAATTGGGTCATCAAGGCTGCTCTGAGCTTCCACACCCAGGTGAGCGCCACCTTCCGAAAGACGGCGCAGAGCCTTGGCCATGCCTAGGGCGCGGTCGTCCCATCGATCCGTTGTCAGATGTCTCAGATGTCCATTGGATGTCATGGCTCCACAGCACTCAGACTTTTTTGGTGAAATCAAAGTGAAATCATGCCTCACAATGAGTTCAGCAGGCCTTTGGGTCATGTTATGGCACTGTTATGGTATGTTATTGTCATGTTCAGCTCCTCACATGCACAGCACATTGCTGTGTTTTTTAAAACATCTTTTGGCCCGAGGAACATGCACTACGAATTCAACATCCGTCACATGAGTGGCGTTTTCTCCGGGCTCCTCAAGGCGAAACCCACCGAATTCACGGATGCTGAGAAGCTGGTGCTCTTGTGGATCCACGAAAGTGAGCGCAGCCTGGCATCGAATTGAAGCTTATCCGTTTTGTAGCATATGGCATCTCATTTCTCCACATTTCAAATCCCCTTCTTTGAACTATAGACCATGCAATATCATGCAATCTCGAATTGGTTGGTTTGAGACCCGGGTATCCAAAAATCCGGGGGTAAGGTAACTCCCCCGGTTGAACGGGACAACTCCAAACGGCGCTACCTCGCGGCTACGTCGCAGCGAGGTATCTACGGTGACCGCTTGGTTTGCCAAGCAGATCTGAAGAAGTTGCGCCAGCTCACGGAGAAGATCTCCAAACAAATGTGGCTTGAAGCAGAAAGCGAGGGGCATCTGCTTCCTCGGAGAAAATATATGGAAAGAAATGGAACATATTGATAATTCACGTGCAAAATGTGATTCTTTTGTTTTTCGGATAATGCTGGAGAACCACCAGAAATTTGAGGCTCAACCAACGAATTATGGGGATTCGTGTATGCAGAGAACATAGGGATGGAACCGCCAAGAATGGGAATCTGGATGATTCATGGTGAAAATTATGGGGACTATCACTTTGGTGGCCGTTCACTAATTGGAAGCCAACATGTTTACAGTATGTCCAGAAAACGTGGACTGCTTTGGCGTTTTGGAGTAGGCATGGCAAGGCACCTGGCATCCTATGGGCAAATGTTGAGATGAACACGATCACATGGAGTAGACATCGGTATGAAGGCAGTAGAGAGAGAGAGAGAGAGGAATGATTCGATGAGAAGTGCACAATGAAATGCGATGAATGTATATGAATGTATCATGCATTTACAAATAGAACTAGAGCAGGGAGTGTGCCCTATATCCAAAGGAAACAATATATTCATGGATGGTTGATGATGGTTGGATTGATGGATTCACCGATGAATGGATGGATTGGATGGTTGATGATGGTTGGATGGACAAGATGATGCACTTTTTGTGGCGCTGCCATCTGACCAGGTTTTCGAAGCACAACCTCCAGAAGTACTTCCAAGAAAAGAGTCCCGAACCGATAATCTTCGCGCCCTTTTCCAAGGGCCATCATAGCATGGAAGATGGAGGACGGGAGGGCTTCTGGAGTGTTGCAAGTTATAAGCCTACATGCAAATTGTAGCTTAGTGGATGCCAATGGCTAGTATATGAGTGGGTCACAACATGTTACAGCCACATAGTGCGCCTTCAAGCAAGCTGTTCAACTTGGCTTGATGGCCAGTCAGGGGCACAGACCCTCAAGGAACCTTGCAAGCCACCAGCGTCCCCTACTGTAATGGCTAACACTCGGAGTGAGTTAACACCCAGTGGGCTCAAGACCATTGATTTTTCCGACACTTTTTGGTTCTGGTATGTTCTGGTGGTTGGTTTCTCTTTAAAAAAGATATTTTGGGACGCCGAGGCTGCAGTTTTTGCCAGCAAGTCACAACGATCCACTTCGGGTTGGTTTTTTCGGGATGCTGGATATAACACAGGCAACATAGGCTTGTTACTTGTTTCGACAACTGGGAAGTCATGATAGGCATTAATTATTGATCACCGGCTTCCATGGTTACATTGACCAACCTTGACTCATACAAAAGCGCCCCTGAGGGTCCAGGCATGTGGCGGTTGGCAGGAGTCTATGACAAGATCAAGGACATGGAGCGTTTGTCGCACATTCTGCAGGAAGCCATGAAAGACTACGACAGTAGCTTGGCACGGGGGATTTTGTGGAATGCCCGGCTGATCATGTTTCAAGCATGTTTGGTTGGAAACGCTGCAAAGAAACCATGGCATTGTTAAAACTTGAGGCTCCAGTAAACTCAGTAAACACACTAATCCATTACTAATCCATGTTAATTAATTCATTATTCAAAAATCAAAGGGTGCCAGCTGGCAGGGAAATCATCTATCACCTCCAGTCAGCGGATGAACTTCCAAGTAGATGTTCAGTTGCAAACTTTGGCGATCAACGATTTGCATCAATTTACCAGAACGATTTACGTTCATTTTCTTGCCCTTTGGTAATCTGACAATTGGCAAGGATCTAGCTAGTAAAACTAGTAAAAATGCTTTTCCACAGACATGTTTGATAGATTGTTTGACAACCTCAGAGGGTTGAGAAGTCATGTACCAACTGCTAACAAACCCTGAAGCCCTGAGGTACTTACGCTGCCATGGACCTAGTTCTCTTCGAAGATGCCATGAAGCATGTGGCGCGCATTTGTCGCATCATCTCCAGTCCCTCAGGCCGTGGCAGCGCGCGGAGCCCACGGAAACTCTGGGACGTTGGGGAAGATATGGGAAGATCAATGATGACTCAATGACGATGAGCAAATGAGCAACAAAACAATCACACACATTTCGCTGTTTTCTGGCGTTTTTTTTCTTTGGTTTGGGGGTGCATGTCTTGGATATTCATCGATGTCATCGCAACCAAGATCCAACCATCAGCTGGGACATTCCGTGAACATCGGTCCGCACCTTGTAGGCCATCCTTTGCTGGTGGGAGTTGGAGGTAGCGGTCGGCAGAGCTTGAGTCGCTTGAGTGCTGCTTGACGGATCTGTTTGACGCAGCTGGTGGGTGGATCTAAAAGGAATCTCAAAAGGTACGGGAATAATCCGGAATACTGGGCAGTGCGCCGTTCGGGTCAAACATGGCCAAGCCACAGTTGAAATCAATTTTAATCAATCACCCATGCTGACCTTCATAGGTGCCAACTGCCAACTTGCCAACCATCCCTTTTTTCCTCCATTCTTGGCTCTGTTTTGTTGGGACAGACGCATCACCAACAAATTCTAAGCCACATTCGAAATGGCCTTGTGAGATCCAATCCCCAGATGTTACCTGGGTAAGATCTGACCTTATTGGCCAATTTTTTGTGGGTCCATTCAGGTCAAAGATTCCCTGTCCAGCTTGAGGCCTTTGTTTGCCAGAACATGACCTACATGATCGTGATCACCAGTTCCTATGGCCTGTCGGACCTGAAAACGGATCTGCAGTATATGTACAAAAGAGCTGGTGAAAAGGATGAGGGAGTCATGTTCCTCTTCACCGACAATCAGATTGCGAATGAGAAGTTCTTCGTTTTCTTCAACGATTTGCTGGCTTCGGGTTGCTTGGAGTCACAGATTAAGTTTTGAATTATTCGGTGGGAGAAGTACAGTGTATGTACAAGTATGTACTCTATATGATATAATAGAGAGGGAGAGAGGAAGAGGGAGAGAGATTTTCCTTGAACTCTGGACTGATCAACTTAAACTTCACATTGTCTCAAGTGTTTGAATCAAACGTATTCAAACAATTTCTAACATGATGTCAAATGCAGCAGCAACCCTTTTCATTTTTACTTTCTTTCTTTGATGCGTTTCTGTAGATTACATATATATATATATACCTAGCCTATATATATATGACTTTCACGTGCAACGAAAAAATAAAGAGGTGAGCCAGTTCACCACCTCAAGTTTCACAGGTGAAATCACGGATCTGTACCCAAGTGAAGATAAGGAGAGGGGGCATGGGGCTGACGCTGCAGTTCCCAAGCTGAGCAAACTGCTCATCGAAATCTTCCACAAGTACAGTCCCCAACTGTTTGATAATGTTTGACATATTTTTTGCAGACTTGGATATGCGGATAATATTTTGACATGTTTTGGATTGTTTGGGCTATTTTGATCCTTCTCACCCCGGGGTTCAATGCAGAGTTCCTCAGTTTCACCTTGGCCACGTGCGTGGCAGCCACCTTGGAGGACAGCATCCGCAACGCCGTGCGAAGTGCCGCCAAGGGCCTTGGTCTTTTGGCACGTGAAAGCACCAGCTGGGAAGAGCAGAAGCTGTCAATGGGGGAAGGAACTTCTCCATAGGTACGGCATTTTTGATCATTTTTGTCGGTATCATGTTCATTGAAACAACCTCTAAATGTACTGTAATTATATGTAATTGTCAGACGATTGAGTCAACAAACTCGACCGTGTTGCAACAACATGAAGCAGCTGCAGATCCCTCAGTAGCATGTTCGCCAGCACCCAAGAGCGGTAGAGAGCGGTAGCCCATTCATCATCATTCCATGGCTTCCATGGCTGGCCCGTGGATTCAAACATTCTTTTACCATCTATTTCCACCGGGCCCAGGTTGCTGGGCCAAGGCTGTGACCCAGCAGATAATGATATCGTCGCCCAACAATCCCAGGCATTGTGCATGCCTCAACCATCCTCAACCCATCATCCCAGGCGTCCCAGTCATCCCATCATCTTCCATCATCTTCCATCATCTTCCATCATCTTCCATCATCTTCCATCATCTTCCATCATCTTCCATCATCTTCCATCATCTTCCATCATCTTCCATCATCTTCCATCCCAGGCATTGTGGATACCCCGGAGAACTTATGGTCTTTCTACATCTCCCGGGTGCGAAAGAATCTGCACATGTCGCTGTGCTTCTCTCCCGTGGGCGATGGACTCTGGAGCCGCGCACGACGCTTTCCGGCGCTGGTGAACTGTACCACCATCGATTGGCAGCTCGGCGATGCCATGGGCGGCCCCAAATTGCTGGGTTGGTTGTTTCGGAAAGGTGTCCTGTTGATAGTGGATTTGTGGTTTTCAGAGATGGGAAGAGTCGAAATATTGAATCCTGTCAGATGTTTTAGAGATTTTTAAAGATGTTTACCCTCTGGTAATTTAACAGTTTGCTATTGAAAATGGTGATTTATAGATATTTATAGTGAGTTTTCCCATTAAGAATGGTGATTTTCCATAGTTATGTAACAGTTTACCAGAGGGTATAGTCATAGAATTGGATGATGGGAAAATTTACAGGAAACCCTGATATTTGATGGTCAAAACCCATGGGTTTCCGGTTCAGATTTTCCCTTAAACCAATCCATTGATATAGGTTACAGCTGGAAAAAAACGGATGGTCCTCTTTTGGGCACCTTGGCGCCTTGGATCGCATGGCTGCCGCGTGGATGCAGAGGTTTCAACCCTGGCCGGAGGATGCACTGCACAACGTGGCGCAGAAGCTCGGAGCCCCATTGTTTTGCCAACGACTTGGCGCCGCCAACCGGGGCAATAGCCTCTGGTAAACGTTTACATAACGAACTGGAAAATCACCATTGTTTAATGGGTAAATCAACTATAAATGGGCATCAATGGGCCATTTTCTATAGCTATGTTAAATTACCAGAGGGCATTGTTTTTGAATCTTTTTGAGGGATCATAAATTGGGGATAAAAAATGTGTGAACAGATGCGAAGCCCTATCCGGTGCACCGCCCGGAGAAAAGGTTCTTAACGAAGCTGCAAGCCTTGGGGCCTGCGGATGATCCACATCGCCTGGCCATTGTGGACTTCTTCCCTTACAGCAGCTTGACCCGACATATCCGTGAGAATCCCAACAGATCCTAGCGTAAATATACATGATGGATCATGATGGCATAGGTTTAAACCGATTTTTGGATTCACACAGTTTCACCCACATAAATGATGGCAATTGGTGACGAGGAACATTTACAAGAAGGTCAGCGCCAGGGTTTCTGAATGTTCGAGCTCAGGATCCTAGGGGACCACGGCCAGGAATTCTGTTCTTTTTGACATTTTCATATTTGGGGATAAAAACCACGGTTTTTGGACATGTCGTCCCTCTGAGTAAATCTAGTGGCAGGATAATGTCAAGTGCCAGACATCCAAAGAGCCTAGCAGCCACCAACAGCCATCCACCCACTGATGTCCCAACAGGCCCCAGGAAACCGTGGAAACTGCTGGGAAGTCGCTGGGATTCCCGTTTTTTTCCGCTGCCAAAACGAGGCTTTGAAGCGGTGAACCAACTGTCACATAGCTTCATCCATGAAGAGAAGCGCTTCGCATACACCACACCCAAGAGTTGCCGGTCTAAGGGGGATGGCATTTGGAGGCCAGGGTGCAAACTCATTATAATTATATATATATATATATCTATTAATTGTATATAGAGAGGTATGCTTACATAGAGGAGGCCCTCAGAAAATTATAACAGAACCCAACACTTGTTGTCGGCCAACTCAATTACAAAAGGGCTCAGAAAGGATGATGGGTAGAAAATGTTCCTACTTTCATTTCGTTTATATACTGCATAGTGGGATAGTGCTCCAGTAAAGCTATGTCAACATACGAAGGACTCAAGATCAACATCGACTCGAAGTGCCGAGTGACAGTTACCATGCGCCGCGTAGCGGGACCTGAGGCTTCTTGGAGCTGATCAAGCTCTACAGTCTCATGTTGGAGCGGAGTGTCTTTGCCCTGGAGGCCTGGCCTTTCAGCCCCAACAGCGGGGAACCCCCTCCAGCAGCCGGCTGCAGCTGATCAACCTGGCAGGACAAGAAGTCGCGCTTGACCAGTGGCCTCATCAAGTTGCGCAAGACCCAAGAGGAGGTCAGGGATGGTCAGGGCTTGGAAAATGTGGACATCTCGTCCGGTGAATTGATCCATTTTGATTTTGGACATCCATTTTGGTGAATGTTCATCATTTTGGATCATTTTGGTTAAGTTTGGTAGATTTTGGGGGATGATGATTCCTGAAAAAAATTGGACACCACTTGAAGCATGTTGAATTGGGGTGATGTTTCAACGGGACAGCCATGGACACTTTCCTGCAGGTCATCATATTGGAGGAAGATCTTCAAGAGAAGGCTGGGTGGGTGGGGTTATTATCATCTTGGGGGAAGAACATGGTACTTTTGGTGAGTGTTGGTAAATGGTTGTGGAAAATGCTTGGGATCACCATCTGATGATTTGGTCAAGGTTTAGTGCTTCTATAGATTATATGATTATCTATCCAAGAATTGTTTGTGCAGCCCAAGTCAAATTCCCGCATTGATCCTGGGGTTGCAAATTCATGTATATTCCCTAGCCAGACAATTTGTATACCACTTCCAACCGCTTCCAACGGGCTATAGCAGACTCGGTATGCGCCAACTTTAGTAGCCCATATCTAGGCGGGCGCACCCAACGCTCCAGCAGCTTGTCACATTCGTCACTAACAAATACCCAAACTTTCTGGGTTGTCTAGCGCTTTAATGGACCCAAACAGTCCTAAACATGTGTAACCACAACACATGTGACAATTTGACATAGACAACCCAAGTAATATAAGTAATCAATAGTAATAATACAGCCTATGCCATGACCAGGACTGGTGCCCCCCAGGTCTCGGCTTTGACAGGTGCCCGTTCTGGCCGCTGGCAGGCAATCGTGGTCAAGGAGAAAGCGGAGAAGGCGGACATTTTCGCCGAGGAGATCGGGCGGGAGAAGACCCGCGTGAACACCGAGGTGGGGTGGGGCAGATGGTGGCAGGGACCCCGGCAGAATGGGGATTTGGGGAAGTGAGGTGGGAAAACACGGTAAATATATGTAAATTTCCACTAAGTCGAGAGAAGTGATTATAGATATTAAGAAAGAAGCTAGGGGATATAGTTAATAGTTGGTGCCTTTAGCTCTGCTGAACTCCTTGAGAAGGCGATGGAGAGAGAGTTAATAGTTGGTCGCTGAACTCCCGAGAGAGAGAGGATAAATCCACATAGGTCAAACAGTAGAGCAGCTAGGGGATGTACCTATATTATATAACACGGAATCCAACTCTACAGGGTAAAATGAACTGTTGTATAAACTAGCTATGGGGGATATTTCCACTAGGTGATTATCTGATAAACCAATATAGGGAGCCCATGAGAAGCAAATAATAAAGAGACCACCGCCAGATATTCCCACCGATTGCGATCTGGTAGCTCCACGATGTGAGGCCGAGAAAGCGCAGATTGAAGCGGTGAAGTGCCAACAGATCGCCCAGCAAGTGGCAGAGAAGAAAGAAGATTGCATCTCTGCCATAGCTGATACCCTCTGGTAAACTAACATAGCTATTGAACATGGCCATTTATAGTGGATTTTCCCATTAAAAATAGTGATTTTCCATAGTTATGTTAGTTTACCAGAGGGTACCCTGCAATCAATCATGGCTGGGAAATTCCTTAGAAATGCAGGTTTTAAATGGATTTTAAATGGGAAACTCTTCTCGAACTCAAAAGGTCGAAGTCTGGGGAATTTTCCGGCATGCCATGTGACAAATCACCCTCCGGTAGCTGAGGAATTCACCCCGGCAGGTTTCATTGGAGAGAATACGGTAGCCCAAAACGTGATCACAATCAAAGCCTTGCAAACAAAAACCCCGAAAAAAAAACGCAGTTTGGTACAGTAATTACTTGTTGCAAATTTGACTTCAAGATGATTCCGAAGAAGTCATTTTTCAGAGAACATCGTGGAACATCTACTGGAAAAGCCACAATATTTGGGGGATAGAATCGGTAGAATCCATGGTTTCCTACAGATTTTCCTCTAAAATTGGCGTGATTCATGGCCATAGCACAAACCCAGCTGATCGCACCTGAGGCATGAGGGACTTGAGCGAAGCGCTTCCCTTGGTGGAACAGGCCGAGGCAGCCTTAGACGTCCTGGATAAGAAGGCGCGGTTCGGGGATGGCTGGGCGTTAGATGGATCTCTGGTGGTGTCAAAATATCTCAAAGCTGAAACATTGTGGGCATTCTGTCAACATGAACCCACTTGTAGTGGGGATATGTGGGGATACAATCAACAAGAATGGGAATACGGATGGATACGGTGATTGAAATGGAACCCCGAAACACGGAACATGCTTGGCGTCCTTTTTCTGGAAAACTGTCCTCATGTTCAAGAGGTAGATCATATGAGAAGACCTGGCCACACCAGGGAAAGGGCGCAGCAACACTGTAACACGACTCCATGCCAGGAATTCAACGAACTCAAGGTGCATCCCGGGGTGTTGGGGAAGCAAAGTAGCCAGTGTCTCCTGTGGTTCCCGACTCTGAGCTGTAGAAAGCACAGCTACTATACTTGCAATCAATGGATAAGTCAAAGGCAAGATTTGCAGGAACCACGGCTTACTCCAAAGGGGTTCCCTGCACCGGTGCCTAGGCCCTGACGCGGCCGCCCACGGACGTGCACACGGTCTGCGAGACGGCGCTACACCTTTTGGCCAACTTGGATCCCTTCGTGGAGGTCAGCGACGGGCTTGACCAAAAATGGCGGATATCCCCAATGATGTTAATTTATGTATATTTATATTATAGCCTTTTATAGCTATTTCAATTTATATAAGTGGGGAGGAAAACTGTGCTGTAAACTTTGGGATTTGGGGTGCCCCCATTTTCAGATAACACCATGCGATGGTAAACCCACATCTTTGGTGGTTAAACCTGAAATGTTTGTTGATGAACCCCATGTCAAAGCTGGCGAAAACTATACACCATCCACTGTCCACTTCAATATGGTAGGCCCAAAAGGAGAAAACAAACAAACAACCCCAATTTGACTAGACATATCTAGACATATTTTTGGTTTTGACTCATTTGACTCGCAGCATTCCATCGAGGCCAAAAAACACCGCTGATGTTTGCTCTGCAGGTGGACAAGAAGGGCCGCGTGAAGGATCGCAGTTGGAAGAGTGTGCAGAAGATGATGACGGATCCGGGGAAATTCCTCTTGACGCTCAAGGCGGACGTAGATGGAACAGATTGGAACGGGCCAGAGATGGTCTTCCTAGAAAGCGAAGCTTAAATGATACCTGGCTTTCTTGCATTTTCACAAACACAGTTTAGAATTACTGTAGCTTGGGATGATTTGGCATGACCCTATCCATCCCTATCCTACAATTAGTTGGTCTTTGCCTCACACCCATGTTGGATATGTTGGAAGATTGTGAGTGATCGAATCCTGGTTGGAAGTTTCAGCACTTGCTGAGGCTGAGTCACCAGGACTTGTAGGCTGAAGTAGCTGGCGTTGATGTCTGTCCATGTAGGATGTAGCACTTTCAATAGTTGATACAATTGGTTTATATGTTTGACACCATGATGATGATGTAATGTAGGAGGTGCATTTTGCATATGCTAACCGCCAATGTTTGCCGATATTGTATGTACATCATCATGTTACAGCATCCTCTTGGCAACATAAACATATCTTTCTCCAATGGGCACTTCAGGATCAATGTGTGCCAATGCTTGTTGCGCTTCTGCAGGGCTACAAGGCTTACATCGACGATGGATCTGTGCCTGCGCAAAATGTGGAAGAAGCGCGAAAGTTGAAAGACTCCCTGGGACAAGAGCCGCTTGGCAAGGTTTTGCCATGATAGTCGCAGGTCCCAACGAAATTTCTCACGGTTTCCAACGCATGAACTCAGGTTCTTGCCTGAGAACATGAAGAAGAAGTCCCAAGCGGCTGGAGGTGAGACCAAACATAGGACCCAAAAAGTGGGTGGCCGCAGGCTGCCGCAGCTTAGAAACTGGGGATGTGAGCAACATAGGTTTCTCCAAAAACGTGGTAGCCCCAAATCCTCCTGTTAACCATCATTGTTCATCTTCCATCATTTTCCGTATATTTGAAGGGTTATTTCATTTTCAGGCACTCAAAATAGAGATGTGACAGGCATTTTGTGTGAGATGGTGTGCTTGGGAGCCAGGTATAGCAGGGTCAGGTTTGCCGGACCCCGGCCGAAGCGACCAGAGAACCACAAACTTGGATCAATTTGGTACCTTGAAATCACGTCACACTGGAAGGTCTCAGCGAATTCGTCATCAACATTATCAAGTGCCCGGAATGCTCACTGTGGGCCACTGTGGGCAGCAATTCTTCAATCAAGTTCCACGCTTCAAGCTTGGGGAATGTTCAAATATGTTCAAATGCAGAGCCCAACAAACAGCTGTCTCGATGCCTAAGAAGATATTCGTTCTGTTGCCACCAGTAGCCCCCTAAAAACACCGAAAGTCAAAAGTCGTGTTTTCAGGATGGTGGAGATTATATAAAAAAACCTTACATTTCCAGGTTTGTACCCTCTGGTAAACTAACATAACTATGGTAAAAATCACCACTTTTCATGGGAAAACTCACTATTTCTATGGTGATTTTCCATAGTTATGTTAAATTTCCAGGTTTGTAGCTTTCGTATTTTGGGTTGCTATATGGACCCACCAGCATTGACGTCAGTGAGTTCAAACTCTGTGGCAGGTACTACGATGTGGTGTGCCAGGTGGAGCCGAAGAAGCGTTCCCTGCAAGAGCCATGGCTGCGCACAGAGAGGCTGTCGGGGAATCGTTTTGAAGCTAGTAATGCGGGTGAAAGCACAACAACATGGATGAATTTTGAACCAATGGCTCGGGAAATATTGGCGAAACCAGGAAGAAATGAACTTTGGCAAGCTCAAGATTTGCCATGATGTAACTATTGTAAAGTCCCAGGTTTCACTGAATCTCCGCTTAGATCGCCATGTTTTTGGTGGATCAATGTAGCAATGTTATGTAAAAACCTAGATGTGCTGCTTACACCACCACGATAGTAATCTCCTATATCAATCAACGGGGGTTTGAACATTGCCCAAACGATCTTTGTGAGGTTCGCAGACCCAACGTGGATGTTTTGATATGTTTTGATATTTGGTGATATCGGGATTCAGTTGGATTTGAGAAACATATTGTAAACATTTGTAAACAAATAGTTGGCAAAGACGTGCAACGACTATATGCTTATACATGTGATTGTTTGGACGAGCCAAGTCTGGCCACGGGTGAACATTTGAGATCCATTGGGCGAGCCCTCTGATTTTGGCTGATGGGCCCATGGGTGCTAAGTAGAGGTCATTATTAATAGAGGTCCGTCAAGCTTGACGGACCCTGGCTCGGCCACGGTAGAAAAAGTGTACTCTAGCAAGCCTGCTTGGCATTTGTCATCATGCTGTGATACCCTCTGGTAAATTAACATAGCTATTGAAAATGGTGATTTATAGTGGATTTTCCCATTAAAAATGGTGATTTTCCATAGTTATGTTAAATTACCAGAGGGTATATGTTTTTTGTGACTAGCATGGCATATCGCTTCGCCTTCAACCATGTTATCCATGAGTTCTTGAACTAGCTCTCTCTGTTTCTCTCGCCGGGCAAATGGGTACATCGTATGGATCAAAATAATGCACACCCCAAAACATGCATAGATACGCTCTGGTTATTTAGCATAGCCATGGTATAGATGGCCCATTTATAGATGGTTTACCTATAAAAAAATGGCGATATTTGCCGCGTTAAAAATGGTGAGTCTGAGAATTTGATCCCCATACCATCCTGGTCATGGCAACGTTGATGTCTTCAAGTGCAACACTCACTTTATGTTCAAATTGCATCCCCAATTTGATGAGTTGTATCCAAAAACAATCCAAAAACATCTTGACTCCTACCCGCCCAAAAAGTCATAGAAACCCAACCACAAATCTTCAACAATATTCAACACCATTCAGAGCCTCAAGAGCCCTGCCAGATGAGTCCATCGATTCTCAGGATGCCACCGAAACCTTGGAAAAGGCCAACGAGAGGCATCGTGAGGTGACGGCCATGGTCAAGGCTCCGGCTTGCGGATGTGCATTGTTGATATTGTTGAAACAAGCTTAGCAAAGTCATATAAATTTGCGCATTTTTCTGATCAATCCCACTTCACTTCGATGAAAAACTCACATGGAAGCCCACTAAATGACAACTTCTATGAATTTTCCATGGGAAAAAATCTTCCAGACCCGCAGTTTTGGTCTTCCAGCCTCACTTTAGCATTGACAATTTTATACGTACAAATTTTGGATGAGATTCCCATTAAAACATTGGTCTTCCATTCAGCCAAGTTCATTTTCAGGAGGACCCACATGATAATGATACTGTAATATGGCCCGGGAACTTTCGTTGCCTGATGATCGATTCTTAACTGATTTGCAAGTGGATTACGCTATCTTAATCTGCATCTATGTATGTATACAATATGTATATATATATTATATTATATATGCATGTAATGTAATGTATTGTATGGTATTGTATGGTATGGCATAGTATGGTATGTATTGCTACTTGTTACAATCCATTACACCCAAGCATCACCTGCGAGGACCTGGAGGAGAAGTTGGCACGTCTGGTGGCGGAGTTCGATCAGGCGCTGGCAGAGAAGGACGAAGTCATGGCGGAAGCGGAGCGCTGCCAGCGGAAGCTGGACATGGCACAGAGGTGCCCATGGCATCCGATGGGTAGGATGGCTCAATGGGTGGCTTGCAGCTGATTTTTCGTGGATGTGAAATTGATTTTATTGTAGGCTAGGAACTGGTTAATTAGGGAAAAAACACCTTGAATTGTGTGATTCGTACATATCCACTTGCTACTGCACTGGCAATGGGTTATACAGCCCATAATCCCTTTTCTCATTGGGTTATAATCGACTATACTATGTTACTATAGTCAACTGACTAATGAAATGCATCCCTGGCCCATCTAAAGTGGGGATGGAAGGATAGAGAAGCTGGCAGGTCAATCAAGGAACCCACAGAGAAGCATAAAGAAAGTCGGAAGGCAAACGCTGTAGGTTCCTTGATTGACCTGCCCTGGCGAATTCTTTCTCCGGCAAACTTACCTCAGACATCATGCCAGATGCTGAGGTCACATTGGCAGGGTTAGTAAATTCTTATAGTAATTCTCTAATTCTTAGTTAGGGACTCTCTGCAACCCGTTGTGAAGCCTCGAGCAGCCGAGTTTCAGGTTGGTTGGGGCACTCAGTGCCAACGGCGTGATCTGGGAGCAAACTGTGGAGAAGACGGCTGAGGACTGGAAAGCAGGTCCATATCAAATGATGTCAAATGATCTCAAATGTATCTCTAAATGTTTGCATATGTTTGCTGTATTTGATCGTAGTTGCATCAAAATTATGTTGTGGACGCCAACGGTATTCGGCCTTCCGGTGGCCAGGATTCAATGGGTAATGTTACAAGTCCCCAAGATGCAACGCTGCATTTTGGAAGTTGTAACGTTATAACATGCTTGAAAATATAAGGTTAACATGTTTACATATTTTTACCCCAAATGGTAGTAACACCCAGGGCACTAGGGGATCAAACATGTGACTTACAATTGCGACCTTTGAAGGTAATTATGAATTGAAGGGCCAAGGTCCTCCATAAGACCTTAAACTGCAACATGACATAACGTTACATTTTACTGTAAGGTAGACTGCGAATTTGTAGGACTTGATCTACTTGCCTGGAAGTTCACTGGTGGCATGCTCCTTCGCGGCTTACCTGGGTGTCTTCAGTCGCGAATACCGGGATTCAGCCTGCAAGACCTTTGTGGAATTCTTGCACCATCGAGAGGTGCCATACGAGTTAAGGGTGTCATGATTGATTGCCATCAAATTGATTCATGATGAGTTATTATTGCTTTCATGACACCTTGTTGGAAAGGCTACTTGTTTCTGATTTGTTTGGCCTTCGGTTGTTAGTGCTGGCCATGGTTGCGCGTTTTTGCAGACTTTTTGGGTCCTCTGGGTTTTGCGACCATTGCTGCGACCACCCTGACTTGCCTCGAAAAGGTCAAACGGTCAAACCTCAAAACTCACCATTGCTGGTCACCACCATCATTCTGTTCCTCTGTGCAATGTTTACAAGGGCCAAAGGTTGAACTTCCCCCTACCTTGACAGCCATTGCTTTTTAGGTGCCCTTGGGAAGGGAAGACCCGGACCCTCTACAAGTGCTTTCCACCGAAGCCGAGCAGGTGCTTTTACATGGCGGTTCCATGTTCTGCTTGGCGCAAAGTGTTGTAACCGGAGCCAGCAAGTGTCCAAGTCACATGTATAATCATGAGAAGCCACGGTTACACTCCAGCATTTGCCATGCCTGGAATGATCCTCCAACTGATGACAGGCGCGCTGGTGTTCCTTCGGCCTGCCGAGCGACCGGGTCTCCCTGGAAAATGGTGCTGTGATGACTTGTAGCGAGCGATGGTGCCTGCCGCTGGTCATCAGCTAGCCGTGCGTGTTGACCTTTTTTGGCGGGGAGAAGGGGTGATCAGAATTGTAAGAATCCTGGTCTGAGGTTACCAAACAAACACGGTGGCTGGTGGCTTTCAAGAATTTTTCAGCACCCCACAGGCCATGAATCAACAGTGGATGTGCCCACAAAAACGCGGGGGTTGCTGCTCAGGATTATCGACCCCCAGATGCAGGGCATTGTGTGGATCAAGAGCAAGGCGAGAGTCATGGGCGCAGGGGGGAGAAACATCTACCCCTGCCCAAGCTGTATAGTTTACGGCAGCATGTGCCGCAGATGCCTCAGGAGGCGGACCGGAACCTTCAGATCACGCGCATGGGCAACCCACGCATGGTACAGGTGGGGCTGCAACCGGTTCGACTGTTACCCAGAGATTTTGTGGAGTGGTTTCAAACATGAGGATGCAACCAACAAAAGAGGGGTATAATGGGTGAAGTTGGTGGTTTTCATTTGGTCTGTATTTTCAATCCTTACTTGAAGTGACTGACCTCAGTCGAGGGATGTGTGTGTGTGTGTGAAACGTCTCAACAGATGTAAAACTTGTACCGATAGGACTTTTTTTTTTTGGTTTTACAATGGTCATCAAACTTTGTTACACGGGATGTTGCAGGGGAGTGGAGCAGGCCATCTCCCAAGCTTCAGGTCTTTGAACAGGCCATTGAGGCAGGCGTGCCGGTGCTCTTGGAGAACATGTTGGAACACATCGATGCGGTGCTGCAGCCGGTGCCCGGGCTGCATATTGGTGGATGCTACCAGCACTGGGGGTGAATCCTGGAGATCCACCTGAAACATCTTGAAATTGACCATTTATAGTGGATTTTCCCATAAAAAATGGTGATTTTACATAGCTGCTATGTTAAATTACCAGAGGGTAACTAGTTAATACTAGTTAACTAGTCAGTTTGACTGGTCAGTTTGACTGGTCAGTTTAACTGGTCACTTTAGAGTCAACTCTTGGTTTTGTTTCAGTGTTTTTCTTTTTGTTGAATCTCTGACCTGATGTCGGCTGTTTCCTCGGCAGGTCATTGCCCGGAACACCTTGAAGCGAGGAACAAAGCGAGTGCTGAAGCTCGGAGATAAGGACCTGCAACTGATCAAACCCCGATTCATAAACCCTGACTATTAAACTGTTGATGGGTTATCCACAACTAGTGACATTAAGTTATTTGTAGAAATTGGACAACCCGATTGATTAAGCTTGGATTCACATTCGAACTTCCCTTGTTGACCTTCAACCTCTTTATGGGTTCAACTGGGTTGAGCATCCAAATAATTAAGAAATCTGGAATGGGTCAAGACGTACCCCAAAACAATTGGATGACCCGATTCTGCAGCAAACCCCGAAAAAGTGGCTTTGAAAACCTGAAACTTTGATCCATGCAGGAGATCGCCTACAATGACAAGTTCAAGCTCTTTATGCAGACAAAGTTGTCGAATCCACACTATCCACCTGAGATTCAGGCCTCAGCTTGGTGGACAGGAACTAAAAGGCGATGATTTTTGACACACATACATTCACAGAGGGGGTATAATTCTATAATTATATATAATTAATATCATGTCATTTCATTCATCATAAATGTCTCAGTTGTACTACTACAATCATGACCACAACGATTATTTTCGATTTCGTTTTCTTATTCCCTCCATATATCCCTATGATACCTCACGTCTCCCAAAACGTGGCCGGTCGCCGGTGGTGTCCGCAGCGCGCCGGTCAGCATCAGGCCGAGTGTACCGTGATCAACTTCACTGTCACAGAGCAGGGACTGGAGGAGAAACACCGACCCTAACAGCTGGGTTTTTAACCGAAGCGGGTGAACAACCAATAACACAATTTCCATGTTGGAAGTCAAGAAAATAATGGAAAATATATGACAACCCATTTCCAAGCTGGAAGTTTCAACATTTATCATGTCAAGTGATATGACATCGGTTGGCATATTCAATCAAAAGAGAGAGATGTTGAAATTCACAAGACACGCAGCATTTCTTTTTGGAAAAACCTGGTCACACTAGATAACCCAAACAAATATGACATGGTCGTTTGAATTCTTTTGCGGTTCCAGGCCGAAAGAGCGCACCTTTACCCTCAGCATCCTCAGCCTTCCAAACCTCACACCACCCCCAAATCACTGGATATCCATATGTATGTCTGAACGTTGTGGCAGCAATCATTCGTGGTTCAGCAACTGCTCTGAAGTTACTGAAGCTTGGAACCATCTCTGTGTCATACCAGGACCAACTGCTGTTTTTGGTGGTGAAATTGGAACGCCCGGATTTGGCGCGCAACAAATCAGAGCTCATTCAGCAGCAGACGCTGGGCTGCATCCTTGTGCGGTCAGGTGCCCCTGGCACCTGGACATCTTACAAAGTGGAATGACAATTTGTCAGTATATAATTATAGTCTATACATACATACATATATATATATACATATTCACGTCGCTTCGCGACGGCAACCGCCCGCACCGCAGCGTTGGGCAGCCGCTCGTAACTGCCAATGATGTCGGCCATTGAGACCAAAAACATCCGAAAGTACTGATTGTCGGAAAAAAACACGCGAAGAATTTGATAGCCATGTATAGCGGACCAACGCAGTTCAAAAAATAACGAAAAACATGAAAAAACGGCGAAATTGCTGTTATTTACAGTGTTTTTGCGCGGTGAGAAGCAGAAACCACTGCAAATACCGTGGTTTTTGAGGGTCAGGTGGCCAAAAACACTGTAATTTACAGTGTTTTTTTAACCAACGTCAAAAAACACTGGTATTTACGATGCTTTCATTCACACCGTAACATAAAACAGCGTAATTTACGAGGTTTTTGGAAGTTTTGAAGCTAGCCGTCAAGCATGCAGAAAACAGAAAAACACTGTAAAAACCAGTGTTTCTGCTATCACAAAACGACGAAAATCAGTCCGAAAACGGGTCCAAAAACTCAAAAATCCGCCTCCGGGCCCGGCCACCTGCGGAACCGCAAAAAAAGATGTTGCAAACCAAAAAATTGAGGTCAAAAAGTTGAAAAACACGGGTTTTTTTCACTTTTCGCTTGCCGATTTTGGACGGGCGCGTTCACGAACAGGTGTCTTCCGTACTGTTTTTTACAGTGTTTTTTGAAGGCGAGCGTCACGACCTATCAAAAACAGGAGGTTTTGGCCGAAAAATGGTGCCCCCCCCCCAGGTAAACCTGTAACCTTTTACGAGTGCCATCCGGAAGATCACGCCCCAGCACCTTCGGTGCGGGCGGATTTATATGTACAGATGAATTAAAAAGAACCAATATATATATATATATTATAATATATTAAATGTACATACCCATATGATGCTATATGCTCTATTGATATAGATGTAAGTACATATTTATATGATGTATGTTCCTAAACGCCACCAACGTACCAGACCGTTTTCAACGGCTGTGAGGAATGAGTTCAAAGTGCGGCTGGCAGATCTGGAATCTTATCTACTCGAGAAGTTGGCAGGTGCTGAGGGTGACATCCTGGAGGCGAGAGCCTAGTGTTTTGCGATGAGATGGTGATCACCATTGTTTTTCATGGTGAATATGATGCGGTTACTATCAAAGTTCTATCTGGTGGATATCACCATCTATTCAAATCTAGTATGATGTACAGAGAGAATTTCATATTACCCTCTGGTTATTTAACATAGCCATGGTATAGATGGCCCATAGAAATAGATGGTTTATATACCTATTCAAAATGGTGATTTTCCATGGCTATGCTAGTCATAACCAGATGGTAATTGACATTGCTGAATATGGATGGTGAATTCAGCCTGGCTGGGAGTGTGACCAGCCAGGACACGGCCTTGGTCTTCGGCCTGGAAGATGCGAAGTTTACCTCGGATGAAGTGAAGGAGAAGGTGAAGATTGCGCAAGAAACGGAGGCGAAGATCAACCTCATCTCCCAGAATTATTGTAACCTGGATATGGGCCTGGATTTGTTGAAGGACAAATTGCTGAGCTCGATTTCTGAAAGGAAAGTTTGGACGAAAAATGTTGGTGATGAGATGTTGGGGAGATATGGGACGATGGTTGGTAGAGGCTCCAGTTTTTGTTTCCATCGGAGCCATATGCTGTATTGCAATTCAGCATAATTCAGCAGTACAAGGCCTTGATCAAAAAGATGATGATGATGATGATGATGATGAGGATGAGGATGAGGGTGATGATGATGATGATGATGATGATCATGGTCATGGTTATGGTCTTTGTCACGTACATCCCGGTGGGCTGAAGACCTGGGGACCTACGGACCTGGAGACTGCATATTTAGGCAACATTTAGTTGCGGACCATTTGTTTGTGTAAACCTTGGACGGGCATGGATTGGCGGTTAATTTTTTCCATCTTTTGTCATAGATGGGACAGATATACACACTAGCCAGCTAAACAAATATGTACTTGTACATGGTAAGATCGGCCACGCCACTTCAGGGGTGCTGCCTTGTCACTCCTAGGTCCAGTAGCCAGCCGTGGTTCTTTGCTGTTCTTCCTGATGATGGAGCTGAGCAAGATGCATACCTTCTACAAGCACCTCTGGATCAACTGAGATGCTGAGAATCACACATGAACTGAGATTATACTGGAACAACCCTATGAATGGGGGTTTGACAACCAAAAAATGCAACAACATTATGCAAGACGCAGATCTTCAGGATCCTTTTGCAAGGGAAACCGCTGGTTAAAGAGGACTACAGATCAAAACGTGGTCCCCATCAATTGTGATGTCAAATCGCCAAGCATTGTTGGGTACACAATCCCAAAATTTTAAATGTATGAACATGTTGCAATCAAATATCACCAATGAAGTGGACATAGGTATCACTGGGCATTTCAACACCAATAGCTGGACTTTTTTCTGTCAGACAGTGAGCATTTGTTTCAAGTAACATGTATTAACATGATTAAAATGTTGGATCCGACACAAGCAGGTCCTACGGCCCAACAAACATTTACCGTCCAGTGCTGTGATCCCCACCCAATCAACAAACCGTGCTGTTATTTGCAGCTATTTTCCAACAAAAAAAATGCGGATTTTCCCATTACCAGGCCGGGTTGGAAGTCCTTTCAGGTCGAATCTCCAGTTTTGCAGCTTGAATCAGTTGGAGATTCATGTTTGTTGCACCATTTTCATCCTTTTTCTGAGAGATTTCCCTCCAGTAAACTTAGAGATATGGAAGTCCACCATTCATAGATCATTTTCGGAGGGGAAAGTGTCGAATTTCATATCTGTGTTAGTCATTGACGGGAGCATCAACCTCATTATTTCGAGATTTTCGAGGTTAACCTTTTTGAGGCCAACCCGCACTGAAGAACTTGGGAAGTGGCCCCAGCCTTCGAGGTACTCCCTCGATGCCTTCGTGCAAGTTGTGACCCGGGCAGTCAGCAAGGTGACACTTCGACAGGTCAGGGGATAGTGGGTTTGGACAAAAAGAAATGTGGGCTTTGGTTGATAACCAACCAACTAACTAATCAGTTGATATACCCTGATTCTGATTAGTTAGTCCCTCAACTGTGGAGTTGTTGGAGTTGTTGGAGTTGTCATTTCTATGGTGATCCTCCAGGGACGGGGAGGGGGTCAAAAACTCCAGATTTCACCCAAAAAAACGATGCACACTGCTTGCAATACAAGGCATCTTAAGTCAAATGATGTCAAATGCCACGAATCGAGAGATATCGAGAGTGGGTTGGTAACCACTGTCACGAGGGCATTTTCGAAAAGGTTGACCCCAGTCAGTACGATCCTGAAATTGGATATGGAAGCGGAAGTGCACGTTTGTTTTGGCTGCCAAAAAGGCTCTTGGTTCCTTCACCCAGAATTAGCCGAACGGAGAACAGCGCTGAAAAAAAAAACCTAATTAGCCGCCTGAAGTTCACGTAAGTGGAAACGAATGGGTTTGTTTGGAAATATTCAGATATCACAATATTCATGCATGTTCATTCACTTTCCCCATTCACATAGCCTTGATTTGTTGGTTAACCCAGGTTAACCCATAGATGTCCTTTTCCCATTGGTTGGTTGATTAAAAGAGGGGGTTGAAGAAACCCCTTCAACAACCGGTTTGTTTGATGACAGATGGATATAGATGGATATAGATGGATATAGATGGATATAGATGGATATAGATGGATATAGATGGATATAGATGGATATAGATGGATATAGATGGTATACCAAACCATGTAACCCATGGTTAACCCACTATTTGCCACAGCCTGGGCAGGTGCGGCGAGGCAGCAAAGAGCAAACCATGGGCGTGACCAGTGCCTTGGCGGCGCTCGAAGAGAAGGAACGTGAGGAAGTCGAGCCACAAGGACACCACCGAAGGGAGGGATTTGTTTGGGGGATTGGGGATGGATTTGATTGCAGATTATAGATTACTGGATTGATTTATGAATATTTTTGACCATTGATGATTCATCAAACTGATTTTCAGATGATTTGAGACTTCAAGTTTTTTTTTTTAAATAATAATTTTCCTGGTGCACCTATAGTGGCGGACCTGCCCCAGGGATGGGTGGTTTGGGAAATCAGATTCCAGGTTTGTGACCAAGATATTTTGATTCTGGCAAAGTGGTGGGTACGTTAGCTATCCCGAGAGTAGTATCCCCACAAAAACAATCTGGCCGATACCCAGGCCCCTAGGTCACTGACACTGATAGTGGATGACAGGAGTGGACCCTAGAGCTCCCGCAATACTAACAGTACTGCACTAGTGGCAGCCGTGCGATGTCGCAAAGAATTCATGTCTAGCATTCCAGGTTTGCATCATTTCTGGATGTGTGAGCCTGGTCTGAAGATCCATAGTTTGAAGATCACAGCTGGAACTTGCATGAATGCCAGGTTGAGCTTTGGCGTGATTTAAAATGAATGTAAGGTGATGCAGTGGCAATTGTTGGCCGAAGTGGGGATTCCATCATAGTATCATGGTGGACGTGATAGTTTCCACTTAACCAGCTAGTAAGAATATATAACCCTTGTCCTAACTACATAAACTATGATTCCTGATGCTAAACGATGTGATTCCTATTTTTGAAATTAACATCCAGAAAATCCCGGCGTTAACATACGTACTCTTCTACGATATTAGACCATCATATTTTTTGCGGATGAAGCTCCATAACTACCAGGTATTGGTGTTCAAAAACACCATGAGGTTCGAGGCTTCGGATCCAGTCCGCCTCTGCCAGGAAGTGATGAGCTGGAAAATACCCTGGACGTTGATGAGATGAAGGAAGAAGAGGATGTGGAGGACCTGGTCGAAGGTGGCAGAGGTGAAGTTGTCAAAACTTCCTGGAATCCTTTGCGGGTGATTCACTGATTAAACAAACTATATACTATGTACGTCTATATCATCATATATCATCTATATCATCTATATGCTATATACCTAGATTGCTTTACAAATGCAAAAGGACCAATTGGCAGTACGGCAGAACATCCCAATTTCTTCCAAGGCAATAGAGCCAAAGGATTGCGACTTTCCTTTCCACTTCAATGGCCCCCGCAGTTCAACATCCGTCATTGAATCTCAAAACCGACAACTTTCATTCAGAAAATGATTTTCCATTTCCGCTTCTGTTGGATTCCCTTTGAGTTTTCAGGATTTGAAGGGGCACAAAATTACACCGGATATCTCCCGAAATCTTGTACTTTCAGCTTGAGGGCCCGGCATTGTTTGATTGGTATGAGTCATATTTGGGTATCCAGAAAAATGGGATGATGAAACAATAATTGACAAATTGTTAAACTTTTAAACAATAACTAGTTGCTTGGTTGATACTAGAGATCAGCCAAATCTGCAAAATTGTGCACGCACCCAGGGTGATCTCTCCTTGTAGAACATCACATTTTGTTAAAATCGATGAGCTCCACCCACGACATGCTGATGACATCATAAAATCATGTTAAATCATGTTAAATCCCAAGTTCGTGTGAGTCATCATCAAACACCATCAAGAAAAACCGGGCTTTTGCGTCGGCCACCCCTCCATTTCTAGGAGATCGTAGAGCTGGATGGCCAAGCGCTGACAGATCGCGTGAAGCAACTGGAAGGCCGGAGCCATGGCGGGATACGGGGTAAAAACATAGCTGCATGTCGCTCTCTCCATCAATCCTTCCATATTAATTTGACACACACACACATATCTTAATAATGTGTATATATATATATCGACAATATACATATCTATTGTTTCAATGTATGTATATATATATTATGTATATTGCACATACAGAGATACCGATGACAGAATCAATCAAGTATGACATGGGAATCTCATAGAATTGTCGTCAGTCGATTGTATTCTATCTACTTCAGGATGGTCATCAGGGACATACACACAAATGTGGACATGCCTCAAAATTAGCAACTCCAAACTCCAAACCCCCATGAGTCTATCACCGCTTTCCCCATGAAAATGCCCACATATTGGCGGGTAAAACCTCCCATTCTTGGACAAACTCAAGCTCAGGTTGATGGTTTTCTCATCATTTTCCCATCATTTTCCCATCATTTTCCCATCCTCTTCCCATAATTTTCCCATAATTTTCCCATCATTTTCCCATCCTTTTCCCATCATTCCCCCCTAAAAAGTCGTTGGAAAAAACCCGAACCCCTCCAGGGTTCCGCACAGTTCGGGTTCGGGCCGCCAGGTGTGGTGACCTTCGCGGTGTATTCCTATCTCCGCCGGGGGCTGCTGGATGCGGCATCTCGGCGTTTCCGTGTTTCACCCTGGGGGTATTCGTGTGTCGCCATAGGTCACCATTAATGTTGATGAAAATGGTGATTATTATGATTTTCATAGTGATATTATGATGATATATGGGGATATACCCTCTGGTAAACAGCCACATAGCTATGGAAAATCACCACTTTTATGACATAAATCAACTATAAATGGGGTAAACCTACAAAAAAACGATGGACACATCACATCAAATCAGCATTTTCAATGGGAACAGTCACTATTTCGACTGGGCCATTTTCAATAGCTATGTTAAATTACCAGAGGGTAAATGGTTCAATATGATCACCATATATTCACCATTATGTAATCACATTTAATCACCATTAATGAACATGAATCATGAATGATATGAATGATATAACCATTAATGGGTGTTGATATGAACTAAGAGCGAATATGGGTGTTGATTAGGGGGATACAGCTATAGTTAATGGGTAGAGTGTTCCTGAAAAATTGTCAAAATGGCACTATTTGATACTAGATTGCAATTTTGAAAGAGGGAAAATGGCACATGGTTTTAAACAATGATGACCCATGAAAGAAGGTCAATAAGTTCCCAGTTTGATGAAATGGAACATGTTGATGAAGTTTGATGAACCGTGAGCTTCTTGGAGGAATTGCACAAGTTTTGGACAAAACCCTATATACTAATAGTAGAAACCAAAGCGATTTTTACCAACTGATTTCTGAGTTCAACCACTACTTGGGGATGGCTTCATAACGCCCACGGGCAATATCGGGAATACTGTGGGCTTCACCGCCACTACCTCCAAGTTGGGATGAGGACAAACTCACGGTGGCCTCCATGTTGACCTTGAAGATCCTGGTTCGCGCAGGATGGGAGATGAGTATGGCGATGCTCCCGAAACTGGTGACAGTTATGCCAGTTATGCCCGCAAATTCTATGGAGCACATCCACATGTCCAAACCAGCGACCCGGATCATGATGTATCAGTATGATAATATGCAATATTGATTATCATGGTTATTCTATCATAATTCAGCTGGTTTGCAGTATTTTTGGAGCTCCGACCATTCAGCCAGGGTCCTTGCCAACATGTTGCAGGAGCCATCCAGATGGAGGAGTTGAACCTGTTGATACGTGCGCCAGTGGATCCCAATCCACCCCCGATGCCAGACACCACTCGGAGCCACTTGGTGTTTACGATACGTGACCCCTGGGAGTGGTGGAAAGCAGGCCTTGAGAGTTGGAAAAAATGATTGGCACATGGCACTAGTCGCTGAGTCTGCGAAAGTTCAGTTTTCCAAACTCTTTGAAGTGAAAAAGTATTGGCTATAGGCTATAGATGGTTGTAGCATGATCCAAAATGGTCTTCTCTAGTCGGTCTAACAGTCATGATGATGGTCCAACAGTCATTTTTCAACGGCCAAGCGTTCCCAGGTTGGCTGAACGAACATCAGTGGGCACAGCTTCGTGGATTGGAAGTCCTGCCGGTCTTCAAGACGGGCTCACACTCGTTGTGCAACACCTTGGAGCAGGTCCCGGTGATCCCCGACGACGCTGGCAGTGCTGGTTGAAGGGTATACTGAGCCGATGGACCAAGACTGGATGTATGGTGGCTATATTCCTGGGTAAAGACTTAAAGATATGATAAGATATGCGGCTAATATCATAAGGCAGACCGCACCATACCACTCAGATCATCAGATCATCAGATCCATTTGGTCAACCTATATGATTCCACATCATTGATATCCTTGAAGAAGATGTCACAACGTATCCATTGACCTTTTGGCTTCAAAATTTTGCTGATGGCTATGACAACATCTATCTATCTATCTGTCTGTCTATCTATCTACCTACCTATCTAATCTAATCTAATCTAATCTAATCTAATCTAATCTAATCTAATCTAATCTAAATCCAATCTAATCTAATCTAATCTAATCTAATCTAATCTATCTATCTATGAATAACTATCTATATACACATCAATAACAATAGTCCAGCAAAATCATCTCATCCGGATGCCACGGCCAGGACTCTTTGGGCTGGAAACGTTGGTTTGCTGAAGAGAAAGCCGAGTCAGCAGATCTTCCCCGCGAGTGCCGCGAACTGTGCCTTGGATACCACCGGAAGCTGGCAGGTTGCGGCTGGCTGGGGATGGGTAAGGGACAGTTGAACATATAACTTAGTTTACAAATTGTTTACATCTATTTTCGAGTGACATCGCTTTCATCCACCTCCACAATTCACTAAACAATCTCAGAAAGAAAAGTGCCATCATACAGTTCCCCCAAATTCCTTTAGATTCTTCCCTTGGTGTCATTCCTTTGTTCCAACATCTTCCGTCCCCAAGGTCTTCGTTCCATCGCCTCTTCCTGCTCCGTGTGCTTCGGCCGGACCGCATCGGTGCTGCGCTGACGCAGTTCGTTGTGGATCACCTCGGGCCGGAGTTCATCGAGCAGCTGCCCTTCGATATGATGCAGACCTACGAGGAATCCACCTGTTTGACGCCCATCTTCTTCGTGCTCTTCCCAGGTAGATAGATGGGAGAATAGATGGGAGAATGAAATCTGGACTTGGAAAAAGAATGAAAAAGATATGTCCAGATGTTTGGATGGCCAAATTTGATGATAGGGCTGCAGGTAAATGCTTGATGCCAATGGATGTGAAAGCTTGGCACCTTCGTGCCCTTCAGGGGCTTACCACACTGGCAGTCCTGGAAACCTGCGCCATTCCAAAGCATAACCTTTCCATACTATACCACTCTTTGAACCAAGAGGATTAACTCCCATGACATGAATAAATAATCATAAATCATCAACACTCAATATAACATGATGAGTCAATGAGCACAAGATGATCTAAGATGACCCAAATGAAATCACGGGCTACGACATACTTCTGCCTGGATCATTCGGTGATAGCCACATGCTGTAGCTCCCATCCTGTCAGGCACAGATCCCACACCGACCATTGAGGCGACGGCACATCGTCTCGGTTTGGGCATCTCGGACGATCATGGGACATCCCACAGGATGAGAAAGGATGTGCCGACTGCATACAATATGATATGATATGATATGAATGGATATGATATGATATATGATATGATATGATATGATATGATATGTGTAAATATGTATGTAAATATGTGTGATATATATATATGTATAATATGTCTGTGTGTGTGCGCGTGTTTTTGTCCAATGTTTCCTAAACCTTTTTTTTTGGAGGCTTGAGAGTGTTCTCCAATAGAAGATGCGGGTAAAATGAAGGTATTTTCCGGCTATTCTATCCAAGAGTGTTCAGCGTTTCCTTTTTAAATCAATATTGGGATCACTAATGTAACGCAAAAAGCAGAATGAAGAGAAGTCCCCAGACCAGCTAGCGGCTTATGCCATGAGTTCAGATGGGACACAAACAAACCTGACTTTGGTCCCCCACTATCTGAACCCAATCCTGTATGTTTTATGACAGACAATTTCATGCCGACCTGCAGCCCACCGCTGGAGGTTTTGGCAATGGCATGTTCAACAACATTTCCATGGGACAAGGGCAGGAGATGGTTGCCATAAACGCGGTGAACAAGGCGGCGCGCGATGGCCATTGGGTGGTGCTTCAAAACATCCACCTCATGCAGGACGGTGATCGGTTACCTTTCAAAGGGCTTGAAGGAGGATGAAAGAGAATGAAAGAGACGTCCGGCACATTACTAATTATCTTTATACGGATGGATCGTACTATCTTAAACTCTTAAACAGATGGATTTTACTATCATTATTCTCAATTTTCATAGAAAGCCCGAGGATTGGCGGCTGGTTTTGTTTGGATGGCTATTGGCAGTCCACGGTGTTGTTGCAGGACTGGTTGAAATCACTTGAGCGTGTCCTGGAACTCATCGAGGAATTTGTTCATCCAGATTTCAGGCCTTAGTTTACGTGCAGCGGTTGTCAGATTCTAGTCGGATCAGTCCCAGAGACTGTTGTGTGGCTGTTCTGGCTATTTGTTGTGGCTTAAATTGCAGTTTTTGAGGGGCTTATCGCGAGGTGGATGACGCATAAACCATCATAAACCAATCGCTTGCAGGGGCTTGGAAAGGTTTGCAAATACTCTCACGCGACCGGTGCTCTCGCTGGTGCATGCGAAAATTACGCTTTTATGCTCTCAACTCTGACTCTAAATTTCAATATGGTCAGTTTGTTGCAACAATGCGACAGGGATGGTCTCCAAGTTGAACAGCACAGGTTGACCAATGACCCATTGACCCGGCCAGGTGCATCCTTACCTCGGAGCCGCCCAGTGTCCTGCAAGGGCCCCTGTGGCCCATGGTGCCCGAAGCCATCCTTCAAAAGTGGCTGGGACGTGGATCAATGGAGGGTGAAACTGAGGGATTCTGAGCACTCTGAACGCTTGGAAACAGCGGTGGCACCACATCCCAACGACGGGTGGCTCATAGCCAGCTCCAGCCCTTGAGGTGCATCAAGATAGCTGATGAAGCGCCCACGGATCTAAAATCCAACCTGCGGCGTGCCTATGCCAAGTTCTCTCAGGCGTGAAGTTTTACAAAAATCAGTCGCAGGGACTAGCTTTCAGAGGTATCCTGGTGAATCATAATATGGGTATGGGTCAATACCTATAGATACATTTTTAGTGGGATGAACATCCATAAATCCCAGCTATTTTGGGGTTCACTAGGGACCAGGGTTTTGACCCATCCCCATATGAGGATATGGTGTCAGGATATGTGTTCCCCAAACTTTGGAACCACCAAAAACCGAGAAAACACCTGGTGTTCCGCTGCTCAAATTGTTGGGATCCGAGGTCTTAAAGTAAGCACCTGGCTGAACATGAGCAACTGGGGTTTTCACGCATCGCCCATCACTACCATCCTGCAGGAGCACATAGAAGCGTGTGAAAAGCCCAAAGAGTACAAGGTTCCTCGGAAAAAAGTTCATCTCAGTGCATGAAAGAGAACAGCGGCGCATTTGCATCTTCCTGAACTGGGACGTTGTGTTGCTATACTGTCATTTTTTCAGATTCTCAACCATTCTCAGTGTAAAAGCATGTAAAACCTCTCATGTCTTCCTATTTTTTCTAGATTTTTGGGCTAATGATATTATAATTCGATACAACTATTACTATAGTATGTATACAATATATAATTAGAGATATTATAGATATAAGTATATAATTAGTATACTTGATTCATCCAGCTGACCCTTGGGACCCTTGGTTCTTTGGGATAGACGACCCCGCAGAATTCCACGGCCCCAGGCGACCCTCTTTGCGCTCTGCTTCTTCCACGCCCTGGTTTTGGGCCGGGTGAAGTTTGGCCCACAAGGTGCCAAAGGGTGTCCCCATTTGGGTGTGTGGTGAACGGGCTGCTGTAACGGACCTGTTGATGGTTTGTTGGGTAAAAAAGTCGGGGTAGGTGACTTGTTTTGGCAATTTGATTCGATCTGTTTTGGAGGAATCCACTGTCAACCCCGGTGACTTGAGTTGGCTGGGACTGATAGAAGATTCATCATTTCACATGATTTCTAGCGGGCTGCACCTGTCCAGCTCGCAGCCATCGCAGCTATCCCTGTCCGAGGATGGTCCAAGAAGTATCCATTCAATGATGGAGATCTGACGATTTGCGCGCAGGTCTTGTGCAACTACCTCAACAACGCAGCTCGTTTGCTATTGGATCACTTTAATTGGATCTTTCTCGACATTTGCCCCAAAAAAACTGCTTTCCCCGTTTTGGATGATTTTTGGGTTTATCATGGTCCATCATTTTGAACGAAGCACCGTATCAGTAAAATCGTTTGCAAAAACGGGGCCCGTGGGGCATGCGTTTTAAACCCCAAGGCTCATCGGCTGGACTCGGAAGTGCCATGGCCGGACATCCGCTACATCTTCGGTGAGATTATGTATGGGGGCCATATCACAGATCAATGGGACAGGCGGGTCTGCAACACCTATCTGCTGACCTTGGTACTGCCTGAGCTGCTGTCCAACATGAATCTGGCGCCTGGATTTAAGTCACCAGATGCCTCGAAACTGGAGTACACTGCCTATCAGAAGCAGCTTGGTGGAAGCAGAAGATGTGGAAGGGCAGAATGGGGCTGGGAGGATTGGTAGAACTTATTAAATAAGTATTAGGATCCGGGGGCTGACTGGAATTGGAGTTGTAGATGATCTACACACCCAATCAGCCACAATCTTGGTATATCATACTTCTCGAATCCAAAGTTCGGGATCCAGCATATCTCCAACATATCTCCACGAGGTTCATCGAAGAACGCTTCCCACCAGAGATGCCACAGCTCTTTGGGCTTCATCCCAATGCAGAGATTGGCTTCTTGACCAGTCAAGGGATCAACATCTTCAAGACCGTGCAGTCTCCTGGCGGCTAAGTTAGACACGGGGGGAAGAGGCTTGGGGGTGGCACGAAGCTGAACTCGCCAATTGGTCGCATGAAAAAATGTATGAAAAAGGTTTGGGGGGCCAAAACCTCTAGAGTCGAATTCCCAAAGTTCGCTTCAGTTTCAGTGGCTTACATCCCATGAAACCCCAGTAAGTACTATTAAGTCCCATGAAATCATCTCGATAAATCTCATGTCCAATAAATAAAATACAAACTCCCACTACATAAATATGCAATTATGAATGATGAATGCCTATCTGCAGGATGGTCTCTGGTGCGGATACTGCTGCGGCCACATTAGACTTGGTGGCATGCACACCACATATTGCCAAGTACAAGGACCCGAGCCAAGCTGAAGGTCGTAGGATGGGCGCGATTGCTTTTCCACTTTTATCAAACATGGGAATTGCCCTATAATTAAATGATAACGGGTACAGATGGGAAAATTATCGAACTAAAAAAAACATTGACATGTTTCATTGCCGGAATTTGATCTTATTGGAGTTATTGGTTTGGTGGTTTCACCATGTTCCAACACTATTTCGCATTTGCTTTTCTTATTAAGTTGGCATGTGTTTGCAGTGATGGTGCCACAGATCTTAATGAAGCTTGGAGACTCAATACGCCGACTTTCTAGAAGCTGCTTGCGGGAAACAGGCAAGAATGTTTATTATGGAACGTTGACGAAGCATGAGTCCAAACATGCACCCAAGAATCGGATGCCAGAGACATCCAGAGACTATATTCATTGAATATAATATTGACCCAAACTCAGATTTGTTGTTCATGTAGTATGCCGTTGGTGAGATTGCACGTCGAGCCCTCTCAAAATGCAAGGAAATCAATGAAAATCATCAGGGTCCCTGATGCAATTCTCCATGTTTTCTCCCAATCCGCGTTTCTTCCAATGTTCTACAGCCATTTTATGCCATTTGCAGGTTTCCCAAAATGGGGGTATCCAAAATCATCCAAGTCATCAAAAACCATGACTTAGTATTGAAGCCCCATGGTGACTTGAGATATTTTGGGATCCTTCATGGTAAGAACCCCCCCCGCAGAGTTTCCGAAGCTCCCATGGCAGGACGATCTGCCCCCTGACCTTGACATGGTGGAGATTCGCGGGCGACTCAAAGAGGAGGACTACACGCCCTATGCCGCCTGGAACGTTGATCGATTTGGGTGGCCCACCTCACCAGTGATGGTTGAGATATGTGTCAAAGATGGGAAAACATGGAAGAACCTGGATTTATTTAGGATGATTTGGGGGATATTGTCATTTTGCGAGTTGCTCCGTGAAGTTTCGCAAGCTGGTTGCCCTCCGGTACTTGAACATGGCAACTGAACTTCGCCCAGAGAGATCATCCTACGCTATTCCAACCAGTCCAGATGGTGATTTCGGCGATTTTCCATTGCCACCTTAGATTACCAGAGGCACCAGCAGGTAGTCACTGAGTGAATTGCCCTTCAGAAGACGGGATGAATACCCCCAGATACTGACCATTGACCTTCAGGCAATGAGGGTATCCGAGGGTGGGAAAGCCTCATACCGCATACCATGATATGGATTGATATGGTGGCTATGGGTCAAGCTTGGAGCCAAGGTAATCACCTCACTACAGGCGCAGGGATGACTGGTTTAAGTGCTGGGATGGCCTGAGTGGATGTGATTGGCAAAAACAGTGCCACTTCAACCTCATCCCCCCATGTGCGCTCAAAAGTTTAAGAAGGGGTTGATCCTTTCATTTCATGCTTGTCTCCAGGTCTGTTCTCTTTTTTCAGCCCTTTCTCTTCAGAGGAAGAGAAACCCACAGACATTCAACCCACAGCGCAGGAGAGTGATCGAATGAATCTGCTGGTGGGTCGCTGGCTTGCGGTGTCAAGTTTTTCTTTTTTGTCTTAGCATTCTTCAGCTAACTGGTGGTTCTTGAATTTCTTTGCCGGTTTTGCCGGTTTGGAACTGAACCTCAAATCACTGTGCCCCAAAATCACCCATCATCATGTCAGAATCTGTCATAGTCCACTGGAGCTTTAAATAAACAAAACCAGTTTTGGCACATGATTCAGGTATGACCTGTTTTACCATTCTCAACCATAACCATTATTAACCATGATCAATTATTAACCATTATCAACAATTCTTAACAAAAAAAAATATTGAGCATTATCAAAAACTATTGACCATTATCAAACATTATTGACCATTATTAACCATCATCAGCCATCATCCTCTGTTTTTTCCAATGGCTTTTGGATGTTTTTTTCAGGTCAGATAAGGAGCCAATTGACCGAGTTGGAGTTGGGCATCTCGGGGGCCCTCAACGTCACGGAGCGGATGGAGATGCTCAACCTGGCGATTGGCCTGGCGATTTTTTTGCATATTTTTTAAATACCATTTGGTTATTTAACATAGCCATGGAAAATCACCATTTATAATAGGTAAACCCAGGTAAACCATCTATAAATGGGCCATTTTCCATGACTATGTTAAATAACCAGATGGTAGAACTAATAGAACTCATAGAACATTCATTCATGGATAGTACAACTATTGTATCTATAGTTGGATATAGATTTTTTTTTCTCCGATAGTATCTTATACATAGAACATTGCTATAGTGTCTATAGCTGGATATCCGTTAATGGATAGTTGGATATTAATGTGGTTAATACTGGTGAATAATTGGTTAATAAAAAAGAATAATGATCAATAATGTGTTTTTTAATATAACATTGCTATAATTGGAGATACCCATTAATGATTAATAATGAATAGTTGGATATGAATGGATAGATATACCATGATATACCATGATAGTTGGATATGGAGGTTTCCTAAAATATCTAAAATTGGGGTACATTGCCCCCAATCCTCAAGGATTTTCCATTGTAAACCATCCATGTGGCGTTACCCGCATCTATGGAAACTTCCATATAAATACATAAGCACTTACATATATATATATATATGCATGTATATAGCATGTGTATATATGAATATATATATATATGCATACAGTGTGTGTGTGTGAGTTGAAAATTGTGACTTCATTTGAATTTGATGTCCATTCGCATTGATTGTCTACCAGAGAGGCCATCGATTCTCCAGGGGGTCGCCGTTCTTTTGCCACGTGTAATTCAGTGGACTCGTTTTGGGGTGCAAAAAAAAAAACATCATCTGGCCATATTACTAGTTTTTGCCGAGATGCTATCCGGATGTTTGTCAAAAATAGTGGTCTTATCCTAGCTGTCCCAATGATCCAAATAGTCATTCATCCAGAATTTTGCTGGGTTCCGCCCCCAACTTGTGGATTGGATCAACATTTCACTGCTGATAGGTTCCGCTCCCAATTGTGTGGGCACAATGTTCGCTGTACTTGTTTTCTTCGTCGTCAGTTATTTTGGTACTGACATGGCCCTTTTTATGTTTAAACTTATGCCTCACCATTGTCGCTGAGACCCCCAATTGGTCCACAACTCTTGTTGCTGGCAGACATCCTTGCTGCCCTGGTTGGTTGATAATAGAGTGACACCTCACCTTCTGCCCAACCAAGAATTGCGTCAATAGTACCAAACCCTGCGCCAAAATGACATGTTTGTGGAGGATCTGAAAGAGTACTTAAACAAGAGGGGTATCCTCAACTGGTGGGTGGCTCAACTACCAGTCAAGGACTTCCAGAAACCAGATCATAAAAGACGGAAAAGCAATTCTTCACTGCTTTCGTCGGATTTTACTTTCCTATTTTCCAGGGGGTTAGAGCATAAAATGCCACAAAAACCCCTCCGGCACGAAAAAACGATGAGGAATCTCTCGACCTGTCTACAGCTGAATCGAGTCTATGATTCCTGGAGGGCGCTGGCGTATCCTTCCTTGAAGCCCTTGGGGGCCTGGTTTCAGGACGGCTCCGGGTTGGGTTTTTAGAGGATTTGGATGTACCATTTTAATTCATATGTGGTAAAAGGATGTAAAATGATAGTGTTGTCGAAAACCCCATGAAGTACGAGGAGGTATATATGGACTTTGGATTAGCATATTGAGTTTCCCCTCATATTTGTGATGCATTAATGATTATTGATATGAATTATCTACAGGCATGAGTATCCGCATGCATTTCATGAAATAAAAAGCATGAAAATGCACAACTCCCAAAGTGAGGTGTTCCCGTTCCCCAGGACCTGTTGAGTCGGATGCAGCAGCTGGTCGAGTGGACCATCGATCGGATACTTGGTTTTGAGGTGCTGAAACTTGGAGATTTTTGGAGGGCTGGTAATCATGTTTTGTTTAGAAATCGTTAGTAATCATTAGTCATCATCGGTCGGAAATAGGGATTAGCCGAACTAGCACCCTTTCTCCATTGCAAGGTGAATAGAAACATATAGAAACATAGTTTGTAATCATTGAACATCATTTATTGATTTTATTGTTTGTTGATGTTCCCAAAATTGGCGGGAACCGTGAAGATTTCCCCGCTGAAACTGAAACATATTGCTTTTCTGAAAATGTCATCGTGCCTTCCCGCCTTCCCAAAGATCTACGAAGTTTCATTACCCCTTTTCTTCGTTCCCATTCCCCCCTGCCCATCTGCCCTCAGATGAATGCCACCTGGATAGATATTGGATTTTATTGGATATTAATAGATAAACTTCTCCATCAGCATCACGAAACATCATTTCCCATTCAAAACCAGTTTGAATCCCCAAAAATCAAACAGCTCGCAGATTGCCGGAAAACCAAAACCCCAGGAATGGCGTGTTGAAGTCGACCTGGATCTCCGGGCTCTTCAACCCGATGGCTTTTCTGACAGCTGTGATGCAGGTCACAGCGAGGTCCAAGGAGCTGCCTCTGGATTTCATGACGAACCGTGCCACCTTTCTGACGCCTGGGCGGCGAGCTGGGTGGCTAAGGGTGGCGAGCTGGTGGCTAGTTGAATGTGTTGAAGAAATGTTCACCATATGTTACCCAACCTGTGGCTTGCGTATATACTGACATATCCTTACATATCACAAATATATATATATATATATAATATGTATATATACACATATAGCCTCATTTAGAGCCCAACATGACCTAAAGCCATCAGGGTGCGGATGAAGTGGACGTAACTGGAGATCTGGGAGAGTGGTTGGGAACATTGTTTTGCGAGTGTCAATCGTTGAACGACCCTCCAATTGCTCAAGTCCAGCTTTTTTGACAATGCCCCCAAATGCCCCCAAATGCCCCTCACGTTGTTCCAGCTGCACCCGGAGAGTGATGCGAAAATGATATTCGTTTTTGTTGATATACCCTCTGGTAATTTTTGTTAGGACATTTACCAACTTGTAGATGGTTTCCCAAAAAACATGGCATTGCCCACTGTACCAGGTTGAAGGGATCAACAGCTAACCGCCTTCCCACCTGGTCGATCTGAGGAACATTATGGACCCCTCAGATGTGGTGAGCCATCCTAACAATGGTGTCTCGCTGGTGTTTTGAACAATTTTTATGTTTTGATGCATTTTTTCAGCAAAAAAATAGATTTTTCTGCCGATGATTGCCCCACCGGACAAACTGGTTGTGGTATCTTTTCGGGTTAACCCATGGATTTTTTTTGGGGGTTTGCAAACCCAGGTGTCCACATCCACGGCCTCTTTCTAGAAGGGGCCAGTTGGGAAGAGGGCAAAGGAGACGATGAGGGCTATGTCTCGGATTCCAAGATGAAGGACCCTGCAAGCCCAAGTCTCATACACTGTAGATATGCAAATATGGTTATAGTTAGCCCCCCAAAACCGTAAGAACCCCATATACTTTCCATCATTTCAGCAGGATGTTGCTTTTCTATCCTTTTCAGGAGCTGGTGCTTCCTATATATATATATGTATATATGTACATTTGCCCATACAGACACACACACACACATATATATATATTAAAAATCATGCATGGTTGATCACTATAGTTAATCATCCATACATACATATATACATACATTACACACACACATATATATATATATTATACACATATTCCAATGGTTAATCATTTTTCACATGACATGTGCACGTCTGACATACCGGGCCTGCGAGTTGAAGTTCGCCGCAGGAACTTCATCCGGAGATGCCGGTGGCGAACGTTTACTCCGTTCACATTGAAGAGATGAGACTCCTCTGAGATATCTTGGAACATGTTGGAAAACCATAGTAAATCACCATAAATCACCATAAATCATGATGGTTTATTGATATGTTTTAATCCCAGCCATGAAGATGGTAAGTTTAGGGATGGTGTACTATTGCTTTACTCATCTGAGATATCTTGGACATATCCTCCCACATCTGCAAAATGGGTGTGTCCTTAATATCCATTCATAGAGATGAATACCGGGACGAATATGGTTTACCTTTTTTTTGAGGGTAATTTAACATAGCATTGAACATAGCCTATTCATAGGATATTAATGGGATATTGGTAATCAAACGTCCTGCAGAAGGCAACACGGGCCGGCTTTAAGATTGTTTTATACGGACTAATACGGACAATATCGGACAATAATGAAAATATAATGGGATATTACTGGCATACTATGAATGGGATATACACCCTCCGGTAATCACACGTGGCTGGCTGGGAAATCTCTTAGGAACGGAGGTTTATAGCTGGGAAAAACACCTATCAATGGAACAGATACCTCTCGTAATTTCACACATATAGCATAGCTATTGAAAATGATCAATGTATGTTGATTTTGCTATTCAAATGGTAGTGTTCCATGGCAACGGTAGTTTACGAGGCATTTGGGATTCAACGATACCATGGTGAACAATTGGGATTGTTTCGGGGATTTCACAAAAACCAAACACGAGAGTCGTGTTCAGAGTATTTGAGCCATCCGATTTTCCCATCGAGAGCCACACATTGGTTATTTAAGTCAATGGATTGGATTAAGGGAACATTTTAACCGGAAAACCCCATATTTCATGGGAAAATCTATGGTTTCCTGTAAGTTTTCCCTTAAACCAATCCATTGATTAAGGGGATTTGCCATAGCCAAGGGGATATCACCCATCTTGGGGATGGATCACGACTCGGCCTAGCCTCCAAGGAGCTGGGAAAACATGTATCGCTGTCCCGTTTTTATCACCTCCGAACGTGGTGCCACCTTTGTGACACAGGTGCCAGGGGAAGAGGTCAACACGAATGCCGGGGAAAACTTGATTAGATGAACCGTAGTCAACATATGGGTATGGATCAATACCTATGAAAATACCATTTTTAGTGGGATGAACATCCATAAATCCCAGCTATTTTGATGTGAACAGAAGGGGTACAAGGTTTTGACACACTGCCATATGTCAACATGATCCCGCAACATGTCCCAACCAACAAATAGTTTTGAGCTTGCAATACTCTAGCCATCTAGCCACGTCATCGGCTGTCTCCAAAACAATGCAGAGATTGACACCTTTTAAACAAGTCCCGGCAGCAACAGGTAGTACCACTGTGAAGTGATCCGGGTCCATGCTTGTGCGTGCCCACTGTGCAGCCAGATTCTGAGGTGAATGTGAGAATGGATCCCGATGACGAGGAGATACGATGGATACTGGCTGGAGCTGCTTTGGTAATGACAGATGACTAATCAGACAGTGGCATCAGGTTCAAGGGTGATCAAGGGTGGCGTGCTTCCAGCTTAGCCTCATTTCAGTGATGGACTTCTAACATCTATCACGCAAGCTGTTGGAATGGTGTGTCTGCCACCCTTGCCGTCAATGAATTTCGATCTTGTACACATTTTCCACAGACATGGGCGATTAAGACGGTCGCAGAAACACAAACCATGACACTGTGGTCCTGGCACTTCGGAAGAGGATGACCCCAATCCGGAGAAATCCCAGGTGTGTTGGCATGTGTTGGCAGATGTTGGCAGTTAGGATTTTCATGGATTTTCCATCCTACTTGGAACGATCTGTTTTTGGGGGGAAAGGTTAAAAAACGCATTTATTTCAGCACCATCCAGCCATCCAGCCTGGAGTTAGCCCTGTTTTTGGGATCATGATTGATCATGCCAAAAAACGGGGCCTTTTCGGTGATTTTAACAGATTTTAACGTTAAAACATCCACGGGACCGTTGATGTTTGATGCTTCCGAACCTGCTGGGCGTCAAGAATTCGGATCCGCCGGCTGGGCTCCAAAGTGGCAAACAAGCACGGCACAGCGCAGAAAAAGTGCGATGAGGACAGGGGTCGAACGGCAAAACAACAGTTACCCTCTGGTGAACTAACAGTTTGCAATGGAAAATGGCTATAGAAATAGTGGATTTTCCCATGAATAGCATGGTGATTTTCCATTGCTATATTGCTATGTTAGTTCACCAGAGGGTATACAACAGTTGTAACATGAAACATCATGACATCATGAAACTCACATGGGGACCGCGGAATAGTTGCGATTCCTGGGATGATCCAGCCAGCCCCACCAGACTGTTGAGTTAGTATCCCGGATGCAACAGCCCTGGAGGCGTTTAACTTCAGCATTGATAGCGCAGAGTGACGTGGCAGCAGATTCTCAAAGAAACGCCTGGTGTTTGAACCGGGCGGATTCTCTATCTGATTGAATAGAAGCGATCTGGGCCAACCTTGGTTCGGTAGATTGATTCATGACCCAATTTATCTAGCAAACATTGGGTATACCCTCTGGTAATTTAACATAGCTATTGAAAATGGCTATTTATAGTGGATTTTCCCATTGAAAATGGTGATTTTCCATTGCTATGTTAGTTTACCAGAGGGTATATAACTCGTTTTTACCCTGGGCCCGTTAGCTTCGTTTCAGGGGTAATTATCACGGCGACTTCGCCAAGGACTGGCAACTTTCAAGTGAAAACCGTCCCAGCGTCGGGGCCTCATGGGGGCATACATGGTTCATCCTGCTTTGAACTGATACAATGCCATGATGATGATGATGATGATGATGATGATGAGTATACTGTATACTTGCAGAATGTTGCAGAGATGCCATGCGCACTTCATATCATTTTAACATCATATCATCATATCATGTCATATCACATCATATGTTTGTTTTTTGGATAATGCTTTTTGTTGGTTCCACCCCCTAGTTTAGGACATACGTACCTGGGTTTTTGTGCCTTTTTGATCCTTTCGCGAATCAGTTTTTCCACCATTCACCTGGCTCAGTATGTTGAGGAAATGACTTGTGGGTTCGGATCTCCGAAAACAAAACAATTTTGCTGTTGTGCTGCAGTCAAATCAGAGAGTTTACAATGCTCTTTTTGACGTTCATTGTTCATCCTACAATCCGCACCTGCCAGGTCAGGGTCTCTAGATTTTTTTCAGCTTGGCCTTCCTTCGCTTCCCTTCCTTCCTTCCTCCCTCCCTCCTCTTCCTCCTCTCCTTCCCTGCTTGCCACGTCGCCAAGCTCCTAGCTTCATCGCCGGCTTCCTCGCCAGTCTCCTATACTCCGCTTCTCTATCGCGAGCTCGAGAGCTCTCCGGGCCTCGCCAGACCCGAACACTATGCCAGATGAAATTTCAGACAGAATGTGACATAATATCTGATCGACTGCCACATAAAGCAAGATAGAATGTCAGATTATATGTCAGATAATAATGCCAGATAGAATGTTGGATACAATGTAAAATAAACACGCCAGAATATATGTCAGATAGAGTGCCAGATAAAATGTCAGAATATGTGCAGTACCAGATAGAACAGGAAATCTGTCGGATATAGTGTCAAAAATGTCAGAATATTTGCTGAACTGCCGATAGTATCGATAGAATTTCGAATGTCAGTTGGAGGTCACAATCTCACAGCAACTTTGCCAGGCCGAGCGATGCCCTGGGCGTTTCGGCTGGTTTGCCGGATGAACTGCCGGCAGGGGTGCCAGATGGTGCCAGGGGGGCAGGTTTTGCAGGTCCCGCAGGTCGGCTGTTCATCGCTGTTCATCTGCCCATGGGATCCCAATGATCTCATGAGGTGCTGAACCAAGTGCTAGCCATTGCGCTGAAGCAAAGCACTTCTGAGAGGAAAAGGGGGGCTTGGGAGCTGAGGTGGGCGCGGAGGCAATAAATGATTTGGCAGGTGGTGTTTAGTGGTGTCTAGTGGTGTCAGATATTTGTTGTTATTTGTTTATTTCCAACTTGAATATAGTGAGGTGTCTCAGTTTTTGGATGACGAAGCGAATAGAATTAAACGACAGTATCACCGATGTTGGGGAATGGACACCTTCCGCACCCGTTCAACTGTGACTACTCACAGCAGGATCAGCAGGCGCTCCCTCAGTTTTGCAACTGGCCGGGTTTCCCCACACTGACTTTGCGCCAGGAATGGCGAGAGCATTGAAGCCAGTGGTGTCTACAGCCGAGGCCTGGGACGGCTGGTGTTTGGAAGTGGTCCTGTTCTGTATCATACACGGAATTGTATTAATTACATTATAATGACGTCAAATAGTCACGATATTATCATAGACTAATTGAAGAATATTGATATGCTACTGACGTGTACCAATTCTAACATTTTGAACTTGTACTGGTATGTTTTTTAACGTTGATGGATCATCTTTGTGAAAATCATCAGGATGGACACCCAAAAGGTCTGGCACCTTACCTGTGTTGCAGGTCATGTGGAGCCATCAGCAGGCGGCAAAACTTGGGCTCCTGGTAGAACCAGTTCTGACAGTTACCCTCTGGTAAACTAACATAGCTATTGAAAATGGCCATTTATAGTGGATTTTCATGGATTTTCCCATTAAAAATGGTGATTTTCCATAGTTATGTTAAATTACCAGAGGGTATGATCCGTACTGATAGGTTGTGAGAAGGCAGGGCATCTAGCGATCAAAGCATTCGATTTGCTCCAATTTAACTGGCAGTGGGGTACTTTGGTCAAGTACCGCAAGAAGGAGCTTTCTTATGGGGAGACAGCTGGCTTCGGCATGCTTTGCTGAAGCTATCTGACCCTGTCAGGGAGGAAACAGAAGGACAGGAGGAGTTCTTGGTTGGGTGATCTTGGGTTGCATCCTGCCCTTAGGATATCTTAGGAAAGTGCAATTTCCTCATTGGTTGGTTGGTCAACTGCGGGGGAACAAAAGTAGAGATTCTTGATCAACGGGCCCACGGGCCCGTGGTCAAAACTCTTTAGATTGGAATTGGTAACATTAAAGTAAAGTTGTTGCAATTCTACCATGTCCAGATTGCATCTTTCTCGGAGGTTGGTTTGGCTTCGGTGTTCTTGAGGCCAGGAGTTGGGATATGTTGGGGGGAAACATGGGGAAATGGGATGGACAATTCAACATGGATCAAGGGAGGGCACCAGGCACCAAATCAGACACCTTTCAGATATCCAGCAATTTATGGTCTATGGATGTCTATGGTGTGGATCTTGGACAGTGCTACTGCGAGCACTTTGCGCTTGGGCACAGGTGAAAACAGGGGATGGCTACATGGAGTACTTGGGATTTGATTGGCATGAAACTCAGCAGTTGACCAACGCTTGAACGGTGATGTCACAGATGGATACAGGTGGGGGGTTGGGTATGGATCAGCACTGAGTATGAACGAGAATTGGCTATCCGGGATCTCAAAGTTTCCACGTGCATACATACCTACTGTAGTAACTGGTGCGTATCTCTTATGTGCTTTGAGAGGTCCGGACCGGAACCTTTGGCAATGGGTCAAGTCATCCTGATGCCCTGACACCAAAATAGCTGGCGGATGTTCATCCCCCAAAATGGTCGCAGAAGTATCGACCCATCCCCGAGGCATCATGGATCAGATGACAGACGGCTGCCGTGGGCGAAGCCAGCCCCCTATTCGTTAGTAGCTGGGGACGTGGTGGGATTACAAGCCCACTGATATGTGGTGAATTTCATGAGATTTCTGTACTCATTGGTATATTTGGATATATTTGGATCTATTTGGTATGTTGCTACTCGCAAGCCATTTATCCAGGTCATCTGTAAAACTCGTCGGACCCCAAGGCTCCTGCAGAGCTTGATCAGCATCAACTTCGGCCGTGGGGTCGCCCAGATCTGTCGGGAGATCTCCCTCGGGACCGAGGATGACACAGCCCTGGGACTTTTTTGGAAAAAAGCAGAGGTCAGCAAGATACCAGATGACAAGATACCAGATGATGAATCATGGATGATTTTTTTTTGGAAGATACATGCACACACACAGATATATATATATTATATATAATATTATATATATAATATTATATATATATATATAATTATATTACATAACTAATTGTACAGATTCCGGTGTGATGTTCTTTTGTCATTTATCACCTTTTGAAGGGGCACCTTTTGATGTAAACAGGCTGGGCGCCTCCACCTCCGGCGCCTGTGGAACGACGATTGGATGCAGGCGCGCAAGGAACGCGCCAGTGTGGTGAGGCCAGAGGATCTCCCTAAAGATCTAGAAGTCTCCATTTTGCTGAGATGTTTCAGGTGAAAAATGATGGAAAAATGATGGAAAAATGACCATGAACCACATTTGTTGACATTTTTCAGGTGAACAAATGATGAACCATAGGTTTTCGGGTGTCTTAAGACAAGAAACGAGCTCCTTTTTTGGGGGGTCAATACCTAGATAACAATGGCATCTCATGCCACCTCGCTCCTGCGGGCAAATTTCAAATGCTGCACATCCTCTGCCCCATATCAGGCC